ACAGACTGCCGCCATATAGCTGGAATATTGCTGAGTGCGGTGTAAAACTAAACTCACTCACTCATGCTTAACAGAGGCGGTGGGGAAGCCTAGTGGTTATAGTGTTAGCTCGTCACGCCGAAGACTTGAGTTCGAATCCTCACATTGGTACAATGTGTGAATCCCATTTCTGGTGTCCCCTGACGGGATATCGCTGAGTGCGGCATAAAACTAAACTCACTCACTCACACATTATAGTAGAATAGAATGTAGATCACTGTTCTTGAGATAGAATGCAACATACAACTACATTCATTTGCTCACTCTAAACATAACCTATAGAAAACTTTCATACATACACGAGCCGCTAAATATAACCTGTCTCACAACACCATCCTAATAATGTAACCTCCCAGATCTAAATAAACACTAGGAAAACTCGACTCTATATATTAATATTGATTCAGTCCATAACACTCAATAGCCGTCCTCACAGTCCAGTGAGTCAATACAAAGCCACGTGACGCGTGAGCAATGCTCCCGATGTGACGGAGACAACACCCTATATTAACTGAACTGTTGTATATAAGTGCAGTCTCCTTTAGGATGCTTTATGCTCTGTAGATGTTGACTCATCTTTCATCATCGCGAATGTAGCATATTCGGTCGAATAGTTTTAGTTTTCAGCACTCTTATGTGATGTTCGCATCGCATGTTGGTTAATTGCAGTGGCAATGTTACTTAAACGTGATATTTGACCGCGATTTTATTGATTTTTTAACATCAATATTATCAATTTCTTGTTTCGGATGCACAGAGCGAAGTTTCAGTGTAGGCTTTTACACAGTTTTTAAGCTATAAGCTTTGTACTTTTGACTCAACTGCCTATCAAACCATCAGTTTTATTGTCTAACATGCTGTAAAACAAAGTATATTTCTCGCCGCAGATAGCTGCAAAATTGGTGATTAAGCAATATTCAGTCTCTCTTTCACTCACTCACTCTGTCACTCACACTCACTCTCAATCACTCACTAATACAGTGCTCATTATTCCACCGATTTGACAGTGGTCTGTAAATAGTTCAGTAATACTCACTCACTCACTCACTGACTTTGTCACTCACACTCACTCACTCACCCATACATGCATACAGCAATATTCCACCGATTTGACAGTGGTCTGTAAATAGTCGAGTCTGGACCAGACAAACCTGTGACTGACATCATGAGCATCAATCATATCGAGGTACCGTCATGTAATCAACTTTAAGCCACAGAACCAAATCACCTTCTTATAGTAACGGGGTGTTGGGGTAGCACAGTGGTTGAAGCATTCGCTCATGACGCCGAAGACCTGGGTTTGATTACAATGTGAGTACAATGTGTGAAGCCCATTTCTGGTGTCCCCCCGCCATGATGTTGTTGGAATATTCCTAATACGGACATAAAACCATACTCAGTCACTCTTGTAGTAGTTTGTTATGTATGATATACATGCAATATGAATCAGAGCTGACATGGCAGCGGTGATGGTTGTGATTTATGGTAATAAATGTGGCATATTCATGATGCTGTGATACTTTGTATACAATACAATGTACATCATGAAACATGAAATCAGAAATCTGATTGTTTACCTAACAACTAATATCTATGAAAATTAGGACTTCACAAAAATACCAGTACACAGGTATATAACAATATGCTTTTCAAATGATTCACATTACAATATTTTTTCTGTGTCCTGGTAAAAAATGTGACAATTCTTTTGTTTTTATTGTATTTGTTTACTAAATTCTACATAGACATTCATTCGCAGGTTACATTTCCCTCAAAATTTGATTGACTTTATGGGAGAAATGCCGAAATGATTTTTCACTTGAAAACAAAATGGCAGCTACAATTACAAAAGTTTTTTGGTTTTATTGTATTTGTTAACCAAATATATCCACAGACAATCAGTCACAGATAATATTCCCTCACAATTTGATTGACAAACTGGAAGAAACGTAGAAGTGATTTTTGACTCGTGTTCCCCCAAGATCAAAATGGCGGTTACAATTACAACATTACGGAAACATAATGCTTGTTGAGAATGTGGTCTGGTTAATATTATTGTTCCTCGGGATGCAGCATATAGTTTCTCTGCATCCATGTAAATTTGTGTGAACTGACACATATTTCAGCATCATATAAAACCTGATTTATGTACATTTATGGCGTAATTAATCAAATTACATGCCCAGAATATGATTTGTGGAATATTAACAATAGTAATGATATGAATGTGTTGTTTGGTCTAGTGTGGTCTGTTGCCCTGACAAGCATTATGTGTGTAGATAGGCAGATATTGAGTGTTCAGTGTATTGAAGGCAGGGTGATGGAGTGTTCTGGCGTTCTGGTGATGGGATGCTGCATGCTAGGGATGGGATACTGAGTCTATAATCAATTGCAGAACATTGTTTATTGCTGAGGTCAGCATTAATATGGATTTAATAGCCAAAATGTCCATTGTTGTTGGAGTAGTTTAGTCAAGAAAGCTTGGGAGCAGAATGTTGGGAGGAAGTATTTTCATTGCCATTCTTGGTGCCGTTGGGGCAGTAAGGTGGCCTCGTGGTTAATGCGTCACTTGTCACACCAAAAACCTGGGTTCAATTCCCCACTTGGGTGCAATGTGTGAAGCCCATTTCTGGCATCCCCAGCCGTGATGTTGCTGGAATATTGCTAAACAGAGAAAAGTACTCAACTCATTCACTCTTGGTGCTGTCAGATACCATGAGAATCTGTTGATTGTTGGCATTGATCTGTTGAATGTTGGCATCGATCTATTGAATGTTGGCATCGATCTGTTGGCTGTTGGAGTCGATCTGTTGATTGTTGGAGTCGATCTGTTGATTGTTAGCATCAATCTGTTGATTGTTCTAGTGATTGTTGGCATCAATCTGTTGATTGTTGGCATCAATCTGTTGATTGTTAGCATTAATCTGTTGATTGTTCTAGTGATTGTTGGCATTGATCTGTTGGTTGTTCTAGTGATTGTTGGCATCAATCTGTTGATTGTTGGAATCGATCTGTTGGTTGTTCTAGTGATTGTTGGCATCAATCTGTTGATTGTTGGAATCGATCTGTTGGTTGTTCTAGTGATTGTTGGCATCAATCTGTTGATTGTTAGCATTAATCTGTTGATTGTTGGCATCGTTGGCATCAATCTGTTGATTGTTGGCATCAATCTGTTGATTGTTGGCATCAATCTGTTGATTGTTGGCATCAATCTGTTGATTGTTGGCATCAATCTGTTGATTGTTGGCATCAGTCTGTTGATTGTTGGCATCAGTCTGTTGGTTGTTAACATTGATCTGTTGATTGTTGGCATCAATCTGTTGATTGTTGGCATCAATCTGTTGATTGTTAGCATCAATCTGTTGATTGTTGGCATCAGTCTGTTGATTGTTGGCATCAATCTGTTGATTGTTGGCATCAGTCTGTTGATTGTTAGCATCAATCTGTTGATTGTTGGCATCAGTCTGTTGATTGTTGGCATCAGTCTGTTGATTGTTAGCATCAATCTGTTGGTTGATAACATTGATCTGTTGATTGTTGGCATCAATCTGTTGATTGTTGTCTGTTGATTGTTGGCAGTCTGTTGATTGTTGGCATCAATCTGTTGATTGTTGGCATCAATCTGTTGATTGTTAGCATCAATCTGTTGATTGTTTGGCATCAGTCTGTTGTTAGCATCAATCTGTTGATTGTTGGCATCGTTAGCATCAATCTGTTGGCATCAATCTGTTGATTGTTGGCATCAATCTGTTGATTGTTGGCATCAATCTGTTGATTGTTGGCATGGCATCGATTGTTGGATTGTTGATTATTAGCATCAATCTGTTGATTGTTATCATCTGTTGATTGTTAGCATCAGTCTGTTGGTTGTTAACATTGATCTGTTGATTGTTGGCATCAGTCTGTTGATTGTTAGCATCAATCTGTTGATTGTTGGCATCAGTCTGTTGATTGTTAGCATCAATCTGTTGATTGTTCTATTGATTGTTGGCATCAGTCTGTTGATCTGTTGGCATCAGTCTGTTGATTGGCATCAATCTGTTGATTGTTGGCATCAATCTGTTGATTGTTGGCATCAATCTGTTGATTGTTGGCATCAATCTGTTGATTGTTGGCATCAATCTGTTGATTGTTGGCATCAGTCTGTTGATTGTTAGCATCAATCTGTTGATTGTTGGCATCAATCTGTTGATTGTTAGCATCAGTCTGTTGGTTGTTAGCATTGATCTGTTGATTGTTGGCATCAGTCTGTTGATTGTTAGCATCAATCTGTTGATTGTTCTATTGATTGTTGGCATCGTTGGCATCAGTCTGTTGGTTGTTGGCATCAATCTGTTGGTTGTTGTCATCAATCTGTTGATTGTTGGCATCGATCTGTTGATTGTTGGCATCGATTTGTTGATTGTTAATGTCAACAGATTCAAGCCATTTTTCCAGCTTTAACGATGTTATGGCTGAAATGTAATTTGTCTAAATTTGTCGTTTTGACTTGAGTTGCAGTTACTTTTTGTTTGTGCTTTTTAAAGTGGCAAATGATCTGGTGTCTCAGATTTAATGGCAATGAGAACATTGTGGCATTATCATGATGACTTTATGTCTCTTCTGGTCTAGTTCTCTGATCATGAAAAAAAGATTTTTTTAGTTGAAGGTGTATGAGGATAAGAAATTACATTTTAAAAAACACTAATTTTTCATATAATGTATAATTGCACTTTAAGATACCGGTACTTTGTGTTATGATCCATATGGTGATGAGAGAAAGAATTCTGAAGAAAATTATTTTATTTAATTATAGAATTGCTCAGCTAATTCTATTTTCCCGTCTCAGTATTGTAGGTAGATCTAATACAGAAGCAATTTAATATTAGTGTTAAATAATTATTAGAGTGCAATTACTGGTTCGCCCTCTCTGAGGGTTTTGGTCTGAGTAGAAATGAAATATCGTTTTGGTGTTGTTCCAGGGTTCTGCTTGCTGTGGGCAGATCAATAAGCCTGAATGACGGACCCAAGCCAGGAGTCAGACTTGATGCCTCCCAGGAACCCCTCTGCTGCATCGGCATCCATCAATACAGATGGGGAGAGTGACAGGAACCATTCATCGGCGCTGACCTCACCTCCCTACCAATCCACAATGGACCCTTCCACAATGGAAAATGTAAAGGATCACAATGAAAACAAGGAGGGCTTGTCTTATGAGACAAAACAGGAGTTGACCTCAACCCATGATGGATCAATGGATTCTTCCATTTTGCAAGATGGAAATGGCCATTTTGAAAAAAAGGGCTTGACCTTCAATGAGTTGGAGCATGATGGTCTGGAGTTGGCTTCAACCCTTGATGGGACACTGGATTCTTCCATTGTGCAAGATGGAAGAGACCATTATGAGAATAAGGGGGTCCAGGAGTTGTCTCGAGGGAACAAGGAGTACCTGATGCTGGTTCATACGGAGAATGGAGATGACCAAGAAGATGTGTTGGATGTTGACGGCAAGTTTCATGATTCGTTGGATATAGAAGGCCGTGAGTTTGGATATCGGACAAGTGGACCTGTAAGTGATTTAAAGAACAGGGAATCCAGTTCGGATGAGCCTGGAAAAGATGCCAAAATAACAGCTGATAACCAAAAAACAAAAGATGTGAAAGAGCGACGATGATGTGTTTGCGTCTGTAGATAATAAAGTTGATGTTAAAAACGATGTTAAAAATGATGTTAACAGTGACGTTGGAAATGATGTAAATAATGGTGTCAAGGTGAATGATAGGAGAACAGGTGTTGCCTATTCCCCAGAACAAATCAGAAACGTTCATTTAGAAACTACGCAATCAGGCTCTTCCCAGGATGCTTTGGAACAAAGGGAGGTAATTCAGGTTGCTAGAACTGAATCTGTTTCAAGCTACCAGTCAAACTCTACAGACAATCTACGGAATCTCGGGTATCGAGATAGCGTCAGCTCGGAATTTACTTCCCCAGATACTTTGGAATATGATCCTCGGAACTATCACAAAGTGAGTCCGCTCCGGAATGGAATCTCCTCCGTCAGCGAGGAAGAGCATCTCCACAATCATATGCATTCGGAACATATGAAAGTTGGGCGTAGAAAAACTTGGGGTAGTTTAGAATTCCGAGGACTGTTCAGCAGCAAGAAACGCCAAAGTTCAGTGCAAAGGCGATCAAGCTTTGCATCCCAACCAATCAAAAAGAGTGTGTCGGAGGTTGATATTCTGTGTGGAGAGTGTGAATACTGTGTTAATCTACCACAGACAAATAGGTGAGATTTTCAGAAATACACGCGAATAGTTCAGCCTCTCAAATACATCTGTAATCTTGCCACTACCAACCAGTGGTTAATAGCATGAGTATCCATCCATGCTGTCAGGATACAAAGACATGCTATATTTAGCATGGAACATAATTTTGGGGATCCTCCTAAAATTTGCTGTAGGAAAATATCTCAGGGTGTTTTGTGTCATTTTTCCAGAAATACGTTTGTGAAATACTCAGTAATCCGTATATGCCCAGTTTGGTTTTGTTTCAGAATTTCGCAGATTATTAACAATACTTTTCTTAAGTTTCAGAGTGAATGAAAGGATGGAAGCAACATTCACATTCCTGAATTAAACCAAGATTTTGTGTTAGTTGTATAGATAGTCAGTGGAAGAGTGTATTTGCTGGATGCTTAGATCTTAATCTTCAATAGCATAGCGCATGCTTGTCAACTTGTGAAGATTCGAGTTTTATGTATAAAAGTTTATACTTTATTTTTCAGACAGAATTTAATTTTGTCTTATCTCCCAGCCCAATCTGTTTTAATTTAGGCTGAACAGACTTCAAACAAGGAGACAGTAATTTGTGCTTTGCAAAATTGGATTAAGTTTTCAAGTCAGAGAGTTGCTCATTTAATTGCTGCATCATGGTGCTCCTCTTGGCAACAGTGGTTCTGTAACCTCTAAGTTGGCATCAAGTTGTCATGGTTACACAGACTTTCCTTCCGTAGGACATAAGTGCTAGGGAAGACACGGTTCAGTGGGAGGCTGAGACTGACATTTAGTCAATGAGTGAGTGAGTGAGTGAATGAATGAATGAAGCCTCAAGCAATTCTTAACGCCATTCTTAGATTTGCATTAACTGACATTTAGTCACCGAATTAATGTTAGCTTATGGGGCGGTGGGGTAGCCTAGTGGTTAAAGCGTTCGCTCGTCACGCCGAAGGCCCAGGTTCGATTCCCCATTTGGGCACTATTTGTGAAGCACATTTCTGGTGTCCCCCGCCGTGATATTGCTGGAATATTGCTAAAAACGGTGCAAAACCATACTCAGTCAGTCAGTAATATTAGCTTATCAAAAATGTATACATTCACAAAAATTTCTCCACTTTGTAAGTCAGTCTTCATCTATCAGCTTGAGCTGATCTAACCACAACTGGCTTTTCAGAGTTGTGTCCCTTTACTATGCCAGAATCCTATGAACCTATGGTTTTTTTCACGACTTTTGTTTCAGTACTTTTGTCCATTCCTTAAGAGCCATCTAACACAAAGTTCCAATAAAATGCATTTTAAATGTAACAACCTCTCAGTAAGCTTGAATTCTTTGATGACCTCCACGATACAAATATTTCAAATGTCATCATATAATGGCCATTGCCACTTTGACGTCCTCACTCACACATTGATGAAAGATGACAAAAACAAAAGAATTTCCCGTGTTTGTACACAGCGTATTTAACATAGAGGGAGTTAACAAGGAGGGAGTTACATTGGCGTTTGTCCAGTTGTTTCCTTAGTGTTGTTGAAGGGATCGGGAGAATACGTCTCACATTTACACCAGAATCTTTCGACTTAAAAGGAATTGATCTTTCACAGGGTTGTCCGAAACAATGGTATTGTTCAGGGCTGTGAAACTATTTCTCTGGGTTTGTCCAATTGAAAAAAAATGTGATTTGTTTGTTTTCCAGTGGAATTTGGGATTGTGTTGGTAGAAACTGCTGACTGGACAATTATGACCAAGATCAGGTTTATTGACCATGGGAGGGATGTTTCACAGGTCGGCGAATGTTTGTGTATTTTGGGGGGCTGTAGAGGAAGTGTTTGTTGTTATACTGATTTGTTAATGAATCTCCTAATTAGTAGACTAATAGTCATGAAGGTGAGATGAGATAAGATGAGGTGAGGTGGGATGAGTGAGGTGAGGTGGGGTGAGGTTAGGTTAGGTGGGGTCAAAGGTGAGGTCTGGTGAGTGAGGTGGGGTGGATGGGTGAGGTAAGGTCAGGTCAGATAGTATGTCATCGTTTACCATGAATACCCAACACAGACACATGATACTGACTTTGAGCTGACCAGATTTTGTTTTGGAGGGGCGGTGGGGTAGAGTAGTCGCGGGTTAAAGCGTCCGCTCGTCACGCCGAAGACCCGGGTTCGATTCCCCACATGGGCACAATGTGTGAAGCCCATTTCTGGTGATACCCTGTGTCCGAGAACAACCTCCTCCTTCCCAACCCAACGCCCACTATTTGACAGCAAACCTTTGTAGTTTGAAATACCTACATGTATTGTCAGAAACACTCCAGCATCACGACTCCGACTCACCAAAAGAAAATCCCCAACGTCCAGCCCTTTCACCCTGATTCTTGCGTCTACATGAGGAATGTTTTAAAGCTCAGATTAACATGCGGCCTTAACAAAAATACTGATTGCTCCTCGAGGGATCTCATCTGTATCTTCAGTTACAGCATTCCTACATGTGTGACAGTTATGTGATAGTCCTGTAGGTACACACGGATACGTGATGGTCCAGTAGATACACACGGATACGTGATGGTCCTGTAGATACCCACGGATACCTGATGGTCCTGTAGATACACACAGGGTGTGATAGTCCGATAGGTATATACATGGACAATACAAGGGGGATGGATGCAAGCACTGAACCCATTATCACACATTCTGTCTACAGTCATGTCTCAAACACTGCTTTAGGTTATTGAGGAAATATTTGGGTTTCCAATTACCTTACAGGATATGATTTCAGAATTGAGCTGACATTTCTGATGAAATTATTGTCGAGTATTCAATAAATACAGCCATTTCTCTTGAAAATTATGATGGTCATTTTTAATGTTTGTGCTTAATGAGTGAGTGAGTGAGTTTAGTTTGACGCCGCACTCAGCAATATTCCAGCAATATGGCGGTGTGCTTAATGAAGGTAACAGTGGGACATTAAGGTTTTCCTGCAGTACCCGGTATTTGAATCTAGGGAATTCTGCCTTTCTCTTGTACCTTTACTAGGACAAGGAAATCGTAATTATGACTTTCATATCAGTTCTGAACAATGCCTATGATGATGATGTTGATTATCATCATGATTATTATCATCATCATCCTGTAAAAATAATGAATTGTAATTATGAAAATAATGATGACGTTAAAAAGTGGTGGTGGTGGTGGTGCTGCTGCTGCTGCTGCTGCTGCTGCTGCTGCTGATGATGATGATGATGATGATGATGATGATGATGATGGTGATGATGATGATGAACAATGATGTAAATAACAAGGAAGTGATGATTATGATAATAGATAAAACTACAATAATATTTTAGCCATCCAGATTTCTTTGTGCGAGTAACAAAGAATGGAAATTCTTGTTAATCTGGTGCCAAGTTGCGACATATTTATCATGGAGAAGTATCGGGCTGCTATAGCACTTGACGTATGACCTGCCCCCATATTTATCATCCAGATCGTGAGAATGAGACCTGCAAATAGTCACGGCTACATGGATGAGAGGGCATCTGTTTACACAACTGGACAAGTCAATATTTGATGGCATGAGAAAAAATGCCCCTGTTAGCATCCTTCGCTGCTGGTTTCGTGTTGACAACAAAGTATTGAATACCAAACTTCTCAACACACTTGGCTTGTATTACTCTAGCTGTTGACTGTGTTGTTTGACGTGCCGGCAGTGTTCTGCTCAAGTACAGATGCACCGGCACTCTGCACTTCACTACACTACACTGCACTGCCCAGCTGCAAGCCACGCCATGCCATGCCAAGTCTCTTCACGTCACATCACGCCACGCCCATACTGCCATGCCATGCCACACCCACACCAGCATGCCATGCCACACAAGACCCACATCCACACCCACACCACGACACTACCACACCACACACTGTACCACTCTGCACTTCACTACATTACTCCATAATATACAACTGCACACCACGCCACACCATACCATGCCATGCCATGCCACGCCACGCCACGCCATACAAGACACCACCACACAAGACACCACCACACCACACCACACCACTCCATTCACTGTGCAGAGTTGAGTCCCATCAGGCACATGCACCAAGAACCCATGAATGTTGGTTCGAATCCTGGTTCCCCCTATAATGTTTCTAGGTTGATCAACACCACACCCCTGCCCCTGTAGACCTCCAAAGTGGTAAGCGTCTCAGACCTGTGCGGAGTTGAGTCCCATCAGGTACACCAAGAACCCATGATTGTTTTTTTCAAATCCCAGTTAGCCACAATAATGTTTCTCTCTTATCAACATCGTTACCAATTCTATTGTTATTAAAAGCAACATTAAACCCAAATGATTCACCCTCAATCTGTCAAAATGTCATCGTATCCCAATTGCATCATAGATGCTCATGCTGTTCACTGGATTGTCTGGTCCAGACTTGATTATTTATAGACCGCCACCGTGTAGCTAGAATATTGCTGAGTGTGGCGTAAAACTAAACTCTCTCACTCACTCACTCTTTCAAATTATGAAGACAAAGAGAAAGAAAAAGTTATTTTGGGTTATTTATCGAAAAATAACAATCCTATAAACCTTATCATAATTTTGTAAAACCTAATCATTTTCAACTTTAGAAATGATAACTACCCACCAGCATTTTAATTCATGCAGAAGGAGCTGACTGAATTTTACAAGTTAATCAAGTAACCTCTGTCATTAATTCTAACAGAGATTACTTCACTAAGGTCTGGTCAAACTGTCATGTTTTATTCTCTTGGATATATTGTTATGCAAAACCGTGTAAGTGCAAAAGATGAATAAACAAGTTATACACAAAAATATCCATAAAGGTACTAACCTGGGTTATAATTGTAACACTTTCAATAACAGCTGAATCGGGGATTAGCCTTGGATTTGATGGTAAACCCCAATTGAGATCCTTAGGAAATAAGTGATACTTTCTCGTGAGAAAAACATTTTTCGTCTTTCCAGTGTGTTGAACAATGTGCTAATGGGCAACTGAGGCATTGATGTGGCTTAGTCTCCCTGTTGAGGGGCTATCTACATCATGATACAACCTTTCATACTGATGCATGGAAGTGGAGAACTTGTAAGCTCTGAATAATTTAGTTCATTTTTTGGGCAAAAAAGTTACTACTGTGGGTATTCTTTTGAAAGAGGAAGAAAAATTCTTCAAAATGAATACCCACAACTAGTATTTTAAAAAGAATATACTCATGTATAAATGGGTTTTTTTCTGTTTCAGAAACCAGGTTGTGTTTGACATGTTAATTGATGGTTTATCTGATTTATGTTTATAGTTATTTAATGGTAGCTGATATTGTTTCACTCTGTGAAATTGCATAACAATTTTGAATTTTCAGGCCTGTATATTATTCCTCTTGATGGCCAGCTTTTGGTTTTTGGTGACAGCAAGAATCCTGTGGCTTTGTTGGATCACAGTATTGAACATGAAATATTTCCTATTTTCTGTGTATCTTAATATATTTTTTGGTGAATATTTGAACATGATGTTTTAACCTTATACATTACTAACCTATTTCTATTCGTTTCAGAATGTCACAATGTCTTTTATTCATTATACTTATTATGATCTTGAAAATATGTCATTTAAAAAAAAAAATGTATTCAATAGTTCAATGTGTATACGATGAAGTTTCATTATTCTTACACCTTTTCTATTTTTTAATTAAATTAGCCGGGATTTCTGTGTTAATGGCAAATCGTTACCTTCCTTTGTGTATGTGCAGACGTGTTTAATTGCCCATAATGGTTTTTTTGCTAACGAGGTCGAGACTTACAAGCTTTCACTATGATCCTTTGAAAAGGTTTTGCATTTTCTGTAAACTGAATGTCACAATGTGATGTGGAATTTGTTTTCTCATTCCAAACTTTGTGTCCTACCAGGTTACTTCAGACACAATTAGACAAGACCGAGAAAGACTTCAGAAAGAAGGAGGACGATTTACAAATTGAAATCAAGGAGCTGAAGAAAGAGAATGACCGACAACAGAAACTCATTGGACAGGTATGCATTGGAATATATTTTAAAAATATTTTTGAATATGAAATATTTAACTAATGTGTGGTTATTCATTTTTGGCAGAAAAAGAATGCTCTCTTTTGAATACTCATTTGTTATGGTTATTTAAAGACATAAAAATGGTATAAAGAGATCGTAACATTTTTTTATAGAGAGCTTGTGAGGACTGTCATTTGTAGTTTTAATGTTTTGAAATATTCAGCTTTTATTTCTAACATAAGTTGTTTTAAATTGCAGCTGAATGAAATAACAAGTGTATGTATATCTTGTTAATTGTTGATGTTAGTGTTCCGTAATTCTTTATGTTCCTCGTTTTAAGGACATTTTTGTTCAGGGTTCAATGTGTTCAGAATCAATGTCTGAGAGTAATTTTGTGTCCATGTTGTACTTAAATTTGATTTGCTGATGAATAGTCTGGTTTAGAATTCAGTGTTTTTGCATTTTGTGTTCCGTTTTTTTTTCGGAAGTTTTTCTGCACAAAATTGGCATTGCAAACTATAAGGTCAGGGATCCAGCTGCTTAAGTATGGTGGATCTTGTCATAAACAAAATATGATAAAGAATACTTGGGTTTTTTCAAGGTAATGAACAACCTGCAAAATAAAGGGCAATTCAACTTTATCACTTTATCAGTTTCATCATTATCATAAACAGCATAAATACAGATGATGATGAGGTGTTTGATGTGTGCAAAAGTGTCCTACAAAAGTTTTTGTTTTGTTGCAGATAGATCTTTTTTATCACAAACTATGAAATTTAGTTTTGTACATAATGATTAACATAGAGATTTTCCTGGGTTACATCTTCTTTTTATTCTTGAGTACAACGTTTCAGGGCTTGTTCTGGCCCTACATAATGATTAGAACATGACTGTGGTTTATTCTTTATTCTGATTGGTCAATCAGAGGTTTCAAGTCAGCAGATATCATGTGTAATAGATCAATGCTTTGACATTGTATAAATCTTTATTCTGATTGATCATTTGGAGGTTTTAAATCAACACGTGTAGTGTGTTGTATTAACTGAAAAGAAGATAAGACATTGAAGTAATAGAAGATATCTTATTCTTCTGATTGGTCAATTAGAGGTTTCAAATCAACAAGTGTAGTGTGTACTAATGGACTAAAACAAGATTAGACATTGAAGTAGCAGAACATGCCTTATTCTGATTGGTCAATCAGAGGTTTCAAATCAACAGGTGTAGTAATAGCTGAAAAAGAAGATAAGACATTGAAGTAATAGAAGATATCTTATTCTTCTGATTGGTCAATTAGAGGTTTCAAATCAGCAAATGTAGTGTGTACTAATGGACTAAAACAAGATTAGACATTGAAGTAGCAGAACATGCCTTATTCTGATTGGTCAATCAGAGGTTTCAAATCAACAGGTGTAGTAATAGCTGAAAAAGAAGATAAGACATTGAAGTAATAGAAGATATCTTATTCTTCTGATTGGTCAATCAGAGGTTTCAAATCAACAGGTGTAGTGTGTAGTAATAGCTGAAAAAGAAGATAAGACATTGAAGTAATAGAATATATCTTATTCTGACTGGTCAATCAGAGGTTTCAAATCAGCAAATGTAGTGTGTACTGATGGACTAAAATAAGATTAGACATTGAAGTAACACAGCATGCCTTATTCTAATTGATTAGTCAATTAGAGGTTTCAAATCAACAAATAAGATTAGACATTGAAGTAACAGAATATATCTTATTCTGATTGGTCAATCAGAGGTTTCAAATCAGCAAATGTAGCATGTAGTATTGGACCAATACAAAATTCGACATGGAAGGATGAGAAATGGACACAAGAATGCTCCAGAATGTTGTTAGTCACAGTGATTCAGTTTATTTGAGTTGAGCGTTGTTCAAGTCAGTGTTAAAGTATATTTTTGCTTTGATAACAAATGTTGGTTTATTTTCTTGAAGTTCAGTGTTTATTGTCAGTAGTAGTGCTGATTATCACTCACAATATGCAGACTGATAATCTGAACTCAATTACCGATCATTAATCGATTGTAATCATAAACCTAACCACAAAACTCTTGTGGGCAACACATGTTCACAATGTGTGAAGCCCATTTCTGGTGTCCCCCGCCGTGATATTGCTGGAATATTGCTAAAAGCGGTGTAAAACCATACTCACTCAATCACACACTCTTGCGGGCAAATATGGGACATAATCATAATGTTGTGCAAACAAAACGGGCGCTGGTTATACCATGATCAAAACAATCGAAGATACTTCCTGTTGAGACGTGCATGTATGTTGTTTACATTGGTGTTTTACGAGTATTTGATTTTTATGTTTCATTTTTCACGAATATCGATAAGTCTCCTGGGTCAATAATGGCTTACACAAGCCAGATCAATCGATTGACTGACTATTTGATCAGTTGTTCCACCCCTAGTCAGTCGTCAATACTCAGTACCAGTATTCACTGTGTATTTTGGAATTGTGCTCACTATATCAATCACTGGATTATCTGGTCCAGGTTATTTATTGAGGAGGCGGTGGGGTAGCCTAGTGGTTAAAGTGTCTGCTCGTCTCGCCGAAAACCTGGGTTCAATTCCCCACATGGGTACAATGTGTGAAACCTATTTCTGGTGTCCCCCGCCGTGATATTGCTGGAATATTGCTAAAAGTCGCATAATGCTAAAACTCACTCACTCACCCACTATTTATTCATCCTCGATAATGTCCAGGGTATACGTTACGATCACTCTCCACTATACCCTGCATCTACAGCATCTACGGCCTTTGCTGGCTCCGCATTCTTACAGTAGCCAATCAGCTGAGCCGCCGTTACAACCGAGCTTGCCAGTGTCAACAAAAATAGCGGTCGCAACCGCCAAAGTTTGTTCACAGTGCGACTCAGATTTGGGGGGATAACATACAGACAAATTGACAGGTCTGAAACCTTAAAAAATTATATGCAAGAACTCCTTCTTTCACAGTATCTGCAACAATATATTATTGTGTTGACAAGTTTAATCAGTTAGATAATTTAAAAAGCTAAAATGAGTTGGGATTGGTACGCTCAACTTCCCAGCGTAGACACCTGATTGGATAAAAAGACAACTAAGGGATGTAATAAAATCATCGGGCTGAGTCGTAAATGCATCCAGGGTATAGTGGAGAGTTATCGTAACGTATTGTCGAGGATGCTATTTATTGAGATCCTGGAGTACTCCTGAATGCAGCATTAGACAACAAGCACTCATTAGATGGACCAGAACTGTTCAGTATAGTCAGTGTAGTTGTGTTCACTTCTTGTGTTGACTGATATTTTCTTGTGTCATGGATCACAATTCAATATTTAGGCCAGACCAATGTTATTTCTTCTTTCACAGATCTGCCGGTCATATTTTTTCAAGAATAAGAAAAAAAATATTAATTTATTTTCCCTGCTCAAAAAATAAAATCCTTATGTTTTTATTGGCCAAAAATGTAAACTTACAAGAACACTTTTTGTTAAAGATCTTTTTGCCCCATATACACTTCATAAATTGCAAAAAGTATAATACTTTTAGTATTTAAAAGGAATATATTACTTTGACGGGTCATTTTTTTTTTTCCTCCTGCCTTTTGGTTTTCTGAGGACAAAAATCTGTAAAGCAAAAATAAAATTGACCTGGCCTTGGGAGGGAATAACAACAATTTTGTTTCCTTCCTAGTAAAGAAAATTAGTTTATTACTTCACAGGCTGTTTCTCTCATCATTAACTGTATACTGAAGTGTTCATTGAGACGTGCCATGGGACTGCAGAATGCATGCTTTTTTATACATTTTGATTTTGTATATGTGAAACTGAAACCAATGGAGATAAATACCAAAGTATTTTGAGAGGTCTGATCATTTGATACTTTTGAGGAAAAAGACATTTATTTTAATGATAATTGTATGATTTGTACTAATCTCACATAATGTTGGCTTGTTATTCTCTAACTTTGAGGGGGGCAGTGGGGTAGCCTAGTGGTTAAAGCGTTGGCTCGTCACACCGAAGATCCGGGTTCAATTCCCCACATGGGTACAATGTGTGAAGCCCATTTCTGGTGTCCCCCGCCGTGATGTTGCTGGAATATTGCTAAAAGTGACGTAAAACCATACTCAGTCAGTCAGTCTAACTTTGAGTGGATGTTCTCCTTCTGCTATATACTGAAGGAAACAAATAAGGGAACACCACTTCATGGCAGTGTTCCTTTATTTATTCTCAGATTTCCTCCCACAGCGCTGTTCAAAGCTGGTGATGAAAACTGGAAAATATTAAAGGAACGCTTGAAATTTCTTGTGTTCCTTTATTTGTTTCTCTCAGTATATTTTCCTTACAAACCGGAGAGAGAGAAGAAAATATGTAGTAAGGAGGAATGGGTTTTTTTTTCAGAACCTCACACTTGGCCCAGAGGCGAGGATTGAGGCGACGATGCAGCATGAGATTACAAGACTCACTGGTGAAAACTTGGTGAGTAAACACATGACAATAGCTGGTTAACACATGACAATAGCTGGTTAGCACATGACAATAGCTGGTTAGCACATGACAATAGCTGGTTAACACATGACAATAGCTGGTTAGCACATGACAATGGCTGGTTAACACATGACAATGGCTGGTTAACACATGACAATGGCTGGTAAACACATGACAATAGCTGATTCATGCATGAAAGTAGTTAATTTACACATGACAATAGCTGGTTAACACATGACAATGACTGGTTAACACATGACAATGGCTGGTTTACACATGACAATAGCTGGTGTTTACACATGACAATAGCTGGTTAACACATGACAATGGCTGGTTAACACATGACAATGGCTGTTTTACACATGACAATAGCTGGTTAACACATGACAATGGCTGGTTAACACATGACAATGGCTGGTTAACACATGACAATAGCTGATTCATGCATGAAAATAGTTAATTTACACATGACAATAGCTGGTTAACACATGACAATAGCTGGTTAACACATGACAATGGCTGGTTAACACATGACAATAGCTGGTTAACACATGACAATAGCTGGTTTATACATGACAATAGCTGTTTTACACATCACAATGGCTGTTTTACACATGACAATGACTGATTAATACATGACAATGGCTGGTTAACACATGACAATGACTGATTAATACATGACAATGGCTGGTTAACACATGACAATGACTGATTAATACATGACAATGGCTGGTTAACACATGACAATGGCTGGTTAACACATGACAATAGCTGATTCATGCATGAAAATAGTTAATTTACACAAGACAATAGCTGGTTAACATATGACAATGGCTGATTAATACATGACAATGGCTGGTAAACACATGACAATGGCTGGTAAACACATGACAATAGCTGATTCATGCATGAAAATAGTTAATTTACACAAGACAATAGCTGGTTAACACATAGCAATAGCAACAACTACAGTTAATGAATAATGATTGCTGGTTCCCACTGAACAGTACTTGTGGAACTTGTAACAGTGCTTAAAGCATACCAAGTCACTATCAGAGTGCATATCAAGACATGTTTGAGGCACAACAATGGCTAATTATGGCATAACAATGCATGGTTAATGCATAATAACAGCTAATGAATGCATAGAAGTACACGATTTAACACTTCAAAATCTGGTTGACGCACAACAATAGCTAATTAAGTCATAACCGCACATGGTTAATGAATAACAGTAGCTGATTAAGGCATAATGATAGCTGGTTAAGGCATAACAATAGCTAATTAAGGCATAATGGTAGCTGATGAAGGTACAACAATAGCTAATTAAGGCATAATGGTAGCTGATTAATGCATAGCAATAGCTGATTAAGGCAAAACAATGCATGTTTCAATTCACAACAATTCATGGTTAGTAACTAAAGACTACAAAGTTTAGTCCAGAACATGAAATGTGTGTGAACTTGACCTTGACCTTTGACCTTGTAGGATCTTCGTGAGATGATTGACAAGCAGTCCGACCAGATCAGGAAACTGAAGAAGATGTTGAAGGTGTACTCGAAGAAGCTTAAAGATGGCGAAGGTAATGCTTGTTTTCAAGCCTGTCTGATTCTGGGGCTGTGTGATAACACCCATAACTACTGAGATAACCCACTCCAACAATACAAACTTAGTCGAACTCTGTTGGGTCGCCATGTTTGTTTTCTAAAACCATCAGGTATAGTAAAAATAACAAATAAAATAAAAATGTAAACAGTTTTCAAAGTGATTTGTACACGTTATATTTGTTATCAAGGATTATTTACCTTCGTGAAATTGTGAACATCCAGGTGTTCTTTCTAAGAGTTAAAATTCTTACGATTTTAAAGAGGATGGACTGTATGTGTTTGAGTAAAATAAAGTCCCATCTCTTTTAGCTCAGGGGTAGTTGGGTAGCCTTGTGGTGATAGAATTGCCCTGTCATGCCGATTCTCCACGTCAGTACTGCGTGTGGAGATCATTTCGGGTGTCCCCTGCTGTAAGGGACCGTTCATGATTTATGGCTGGAGGTGATGATGATTTTTAAAAAAAAAAAAAAATATTTTTTTTGGGGAGCCCATTTTGTTCTGGGGAGGTAGTGGGGGTTATCAATTTTGTGGATTTGTAGAAAAAAACCTTTGTACATGACATGCAGGGTGCCGTCACTTAGTTTGTACATAAATTTTAGGGGGATGGAGGGTGTGATTCACATTGTATATGCTTCTCGAAAAAAAAACCCCACTCCCCCAGCCATAAATTATGAACAGTCCCTAATATTGCTCAAATTGGCATAAAACTGTGCTCACTCACTCTCTGTTTAGTTCACTTAAGTCATTCTGACTTGTGTAAGAAAAGACACAAAAATTATAATATACGAAATCATAATGATACGAAATCACATGTGAAATAAGAATTCATCGACTGTTACACAACTATATCGCAAGTGTGTGATTGTGAATTACTGTCATATAGGATGGATACCAGGTGGTAGAGAAAGATAAACTGTTCATTCATCACAAACACATGCAAAGGAAAGTCAATTGTCCAAGGTGAAATACAAATAAAAGAGTTTGAATAAAATAAAGGCAAAATGTCTTTTTGTCACCTTTTTCCACAGGTGTCATAAACATTATACTAATTATTCCATACGTTTTACGATGATAACATTAAGACTTCATGTAAATTTTGCTAAAGTGGGTCTTTGTGAAACCCTGCCCTTTCCAGAGGCCCAGATAAGCTGCGTATCCAGGTAAAATATACATAGAAAATTTCCAATTACTCATTGAAAAAATAATTGTTGCGTACCAATTACGCATTTAAAATGTTAGATACGCAAAAAGTTTAAAACAAATGCGTACAGAATATATTTATAAAAATCGCTTGCGTAGTGAAAAAGACATCGACTGCTATCAAGTTGTATTGTTAGTATAGGACAAGTGTTGTACTGTCAGTACAGGATGAGTGATTTTTTATGAAATCATTTCCATTATATTAAAGTTGGTTTTGATTAGGTATGACATAAGGCAGAACATACCTGCTTAGTAAACTTACTCAATGGCTGAAATAAGCACATATTTGAAAGCAGTGGGTAACGGAAAATGAAATACCCACTCAACATTCATAATACCCACTCCAAAAGAATACAGTGGGTACAGTACCCACATGAGCTAAATCTTATCTGGAGCTCTGCCTTTCAATGAAAAGTTGGAGAAGTGAAGGCATGTAGCTGCTGCATAACAACCCAAGGCTGAATTTTGACAAATTACGATGGCCTTTTATGGCTGAGTTTGGATCGTGGTACAGTATAACAAGAGTGCTCTCCCTTCATTTACTGCTGACATAGGACATTTGCATCGCTCCCTCACAATCTCATCCTCCATCTCTCTCAGTCCTACATCTGGTAAGATCGTGTTGTCAAGTCACATTTTCACCCCTCATTCTCACAATGGTTTGCTCCACATGAAAGCAGAAGTGGTTCCATTTGTGTTCTAGGGGTGAAGGTTGCATTATTGTTTGTGAATAGACATGTTTCCTGTTCACCCCTTTGTGTGAAAGTTATTATTTCTAGAAATTTGAAATTTGGTTTGAAGATTTTGTGGTAAAATTCTTTAGTAGATGTTGTTATGAATATTTGTGGAAATTATTAGCGTTTGTTTTGAATTTTTTGTGATAAAACCTTTAAGCCGCTGGTGTTATGAGTTATTTAGATTATCACAAATTTGGTTTGAAATGCATGCCGTCGTAGTATGTGTGTATCCTCTAGATTGCAAGGTTTATTTTTAAGATGACATGAAATAAATTACCTCATGAAGATCCGGGTTATATTTGATCTTCAGCAACCGATGCTTGTTGTAAGAGGCGACTAACAGGATCAGGTGGTCAGGCTCGCTGACTTGGTTGACACATCGGTTCCCAATTGCATAGATTGATGCTCATGCTGTCGATCACTGGATTGTCTGGCCCAGACTTGATTATTAACAGCCTGATGCAATATAGCTGAAATATTGCTGAATGCGGCGTTAAACAGCTAACAAACGAAACTGTTTCATGTTTTCAATCTGATTCTGAATCTGCTGATATGATGTCCCAGAAACAATGAATAATATACTTATGTCTTTTTAATATTGATGTGTCAGTTGTAACGGAGACTTTTTGCATGATCGTCAATAGAGAAACAATGTTTATATTGACCGTGCCACAACAGAGATGTAAAACACCTGTCACATATGTGATATATTCAATCTCCAGGTGTGTTATACGACTGTCACATAAACCTGGCTGCATGTGTGATATATGTAGTAGTAGACCTGTGCTGTTTATTTCAATCAAGACACATGTTTCATAGTCAAGTGTACAAATACAATGTTATTTTCTTGGTTCTTAAATGTGTTAGGGGTAGTGGTGTAGCCTAATTGTTAAAGCATTCGCTTAACAAGCCGATGACCTGGGTTCGATTCCCCACATGGGTACAATGTGTGAAGCCCATTTCTGGTGTCTCCATCCACAATATTGCTGTAATATTGCTAAAAGTGACATAAAACCTCACTCACTCACTCACTCACTTAAGTGTGTTTATATGGAAGTGATGTACATGTATACCAAATGAAATTTTTGTTTTTAAAAATTCCAGTTTTCTAATAAAAACAGGGATAGATGATATTTTCTGAACATGTTTGTGTAAGAGGTTTGAGGTCACCCAGTTACTTGATTTGGCTATAGTTAATCTGTCATCTGGGTTCAAAAAGGCTCTCAATTTGTTTTAGCTTTGAAAAGGCCCTAATTGCAGTGATATGCCCTAAAAAGGCCCTATATTTATACCATTAATAAAAAACCTTGCAATGACAGTGCATGCTAATTAATCTCCATCACATCCTAGTGCAGCGATTTAGCTGAAAGTTATTTCCCTCTGATGACCTTGTGTGTGTGTTATTATCATTTTGTGACATGCAACATTGTATCTCATATGTGTCTCATATGTTCAAAGTTATGACACTTGGACCCGTGAAGGTCCAGGTTAGAATTGATCTTCAGTAACAAATGCTTGTCGTAAGAGGCGACTGACAGGATCTGGTGGCCAGGCTCGTTGACTGGGTTGACACATGTCATCGTATCCTAATTGTGTAGATCAATGTTCATGTTGTTGATCCCTGGATTGTCTGGTCCAAACTCGATTATTTACAGACCGCCGCCATATAGCTGTAATATTGCTGAGAGTGGCGTAAACCTAAACTCACTCCTTCACTCACTATGACACTGGGGTTAACAAGGCTCCTTTGACATAAACGCTGTCATGGTATTGCTGTGTGATGACTGTAACATTGTTATAACTGTATCAATCCATTAAGGTGGCGGTGGTGTAGCCCAGTGGTTAAAGCGTTCGATCAGGGTTCGATTCCCCACATTAGTACAATGTATGATTTGCAGTGCTGTACTGCTAGAAGTGGCGGAAAACCAAACTCATTCACTCACTCATTAATGTTGATGTTGTTGACAGCTGCAGAGATTCAGGCAGAGCTGGAGCAGGAGGAGAGGAGCAGCGCCAATGGCGCCCTGGCGACGGTGAAACACAGACAAAGGATATTCCTTGGCATGCTGGAATACAAGAAGGAAGACGAGGGCGCCCTGTTGAAGAACCTTATACTTGGTGAGGAGGAGTCGGGGGAGGACTATAAAAATAATTTCGTTAACAAATGTAGTCTTTAAATTCTAATGGCTTGGGATCGCTCTGGTGGATGTTTTGAGTGATTATGAAAAAAATGGGAATGATGAATAAAATCATAGATAAAATAGTGTCCTCAGTCATTAAGTCAGAGAAGGATTAAACAAATGTCATTGTCTCTTGCAAAGTCTCTGTTTCCCATTTCAAGCGATGATAATGACGATGATGATGATGATGATGATATTAATGACGATGATAATGATGATGATGACAAGGATGATAATGACGATGACTGATGATAAAGGCGATGACAATGATGATAATGACGACGATGAAGTTGATATTAATGATGATGATGATGATAACGGCGATGACAATAATGATGACAATGATGATGTTGATATTAATGACGATGATAATGATGAGGAGGATGAGGATGATAATGCCAGTGATGACAATGATGAGTGTACTGATAATGATTCCTATCTACTTTGCAGACTTACGGGCCAAGTTCTCATCTGGCCAGATTCCTGGCCTCCCGGCGTACATCCTGTTCATGTGCGTGCGTCACACCGACTACACCAACGACGACGAGAAGGTCCGCTCCATGCTCACGGGCACTATCAACAGCATCAAGAAGGTGGTCAAGGTAAACATGCCTCACGATGCCAGTTCTGACTGGAACTCAGGCAGTGGTGGACCAGTTGCCTCACTTAAATCTTTTGTTACGTCACTGCATTGGAACAACCAGTTCTTGATATTTTGTATGCGATTCTGATGTATCAATTAGTTTTGATACTGTATCAATCCAAAATAATGAATAGATAACCTGATCCAGTGGGGTAGCCTAGTGGTTAAAGTGTTCGCTCATCACGGTCATCCAGATTCGGTGTCCCCATGGGCCAATGTGTGAAGCGATTTATGGTGATATATTGTATGGCTGGAATATTGCTAAAAGTGGTGTAAACCCAACTCACTCACTTTTATACCGGATGGGCACTGTATTGTTGACAGAAACACACATTGAGCGATGTACGATGTGGCTGGTTAACACATGCCGCCTACTCCACTCACTCACTCACTCACTCACTCACTCACTCTTTGCTGGACAGAAACACACTGATGACATTGAGCGATTGCGATAACACGCATCCACTCCACTCACTCACTCACTCACTCTTTTGTTGACAGAAACACCCTGATGACATTGAGCGGTGTACGATAACACATGCCGCCTACTCCACACACTCACTCACTCTTTTGTTGACAGAAACAACCTGAACATTGAGCCCTGATGACATTCACTCACTCTTTTGTTGGCAGGTTGATGACATTGAGCGAGTGTAACACACGCGCTGCCTACTCCACACACTCACTCACTCACTCACTCACTCTTTTGTTGACAGAAACACCCTGATGACATTGAGCGGTGCATGCGATAACAAGTGCAGCTTACTCCACACTCACTTACTCACTCACTCACTCACTCTTTTTGTTGACAGAAACACCCTGATGACATTGATGATTGCACGATAACACGTGCCGCCTCTCCACACACACACTCACTCACTCACTCACTCTTTTGTTGACAGAAACACCCTGATGACATTGAGCGGTGTACGATAACACGTGCCGCCTACTCCACACACTCACTTACTCACTCACTCTTTTGTTGACAGAAACACCCTGATGACATTGAGCGGTGTACGATAACATGTGCCGCCTACTCCACACACTCACTCACTCACTCACTCACTCTTTTGTTGACAGAAACACCCTGATGACATTGAGCGGTGTATGCGATAACATCGCGTGAAGCCTTACTCCACACACTCACTTACTCACTCACTCTTTTGTTGACAGAAACACCCTGATGACATTGAGCGTTGCATGCGATAACACGTGGCAGCCTACTCCACCACACACTCACTTACTCACTCACTCTTTTGTTGACAGAAACACCCTGATGACATTGAGCTGTGTGCACGATAACACGCAGCCTTACTCCACACACTCACTCACTCACTCACTCTTTGTTGACAGAAACACCCTGATGACATTGAGCGGTTAATGCGATAACATAACGCCCTACTCCACACACTCACTCACACTCACTCTCCTGTTGACAGAAACACCCTGATGACATTGAGCGGTGTACGATAACATGTGCCGCCTACTCACACACTCACTCACTCACTCACTCACTCTTTTGTTGACAGAAACACCCTGATGACATTGAGCGGTGTACGATAACATGTGCCGCCTACTCCACACACTCACTCACTCACTCACTCACTCACTCTTTTGTTGACAGAAACACCCTGATGACATTGAGCGGTGTACGATAACACGTGCCGCCTACTCCACACACTCACTCACTCACTCACTCTTTTGTTGACAGAAACACCCTGATGACAGCTATGCACGATAACACGCGATGCTTCCTATACACACACACTCACTTACTCACTCACTCTTTTGTCGACAGAAACACCCCCTGCGATAACGATGACTCTTTTGTTGACAGAAACACCCTGATGACATTGGCGGTAATGCGATAACACGTGCTGCCACACACTCCACACTCACTCACTCTTTTGTTGACAGAAACACCCTGATGACATTGAGGCGTGTAATGATAACATGTGCCGCCTACTCACTCACTCACTCTTTTGTTGACAGAAACACCCTGATGACATTGAGCTATGTAATGATTAATACGATAACATGTGCCGCCTACTCCACACACTCACTCACTCACTCACTCACTCACTCTTTTGTTGACAGAAACACCCTGATGACATTGAGCGGTGTACGATAACATGTGTTGCCTACTCCACACACACTCACTTACTCACTCATTCATTCATTCACTCTGTTGTTGACAGAAACACCCTGACGACATAGAGCGGTGTACAATGTGGCTGGCAAACACGTGCCGCCTACTCCACACACTCAAGCAGTACAGCGGTGAGAAGACCTTCCAGGCGGAGAACACCCCCAAGCAGAACGAGCAGTGTCTCCGCAACTTTGACCTGTCGGAGTACAGGCAGGTGTTCAGCGACCTGGCGGTGTGGGTGTACCAGGGCCTCATCAAGGTCATGCAGGAGATGATACAACCTAACATAGGTGAGTCTGTGTGAGTGTGTGAGTCTTGTGAGTGTGTGCATATGAGTGAGTGTGAGTCTTTTGGAGATTACATGAATCTGTGTGTGTCAGTATTCACATGTGTTAATCTATAGGAATGTTGAGGTCTGTGTGAGTTTATGTGAGTCTATTTGAGTGCATGTGAGTGTTTAAGTCTTTTTGTGATACTTATTGCATGAGTAAACATGTGAGTCTGTGTGAGTCTATGTGAGTGTGAGACTGAATGAATCTGAGTGTTTGTGTGTATAACGCTGTGTGAGTCTTAGTCAATGTATGTGCATTTGTGTGAATTAGTGTGAGTCTATGTGAGTGAAGAAGTCCATGTGACACTGTGTTAGTCTACACAGAATCGTAACCTCGTAGATAATCTTGATTCGTGGATCACGGTAATTATCAAGCTATATCGTAAATTAAGTCTCGTATGACTTAACGAAGCAGTACTTTTGATGTACACACAGTGCCACGCCTCGCTGACAAAAATGTTCCGAATCACACGTAAATACAATAAGTCTAATTTTCTAGCACTGAGATAAATAGCCCAAGATAACTTATGCCAAATTATATTTTTTACAAAATGTCAAGTAAAAAACATACCGTTATCACCAACCTTATCACTTACTGCAATGGGCTGTCGTACATAGTGACATATTGTAAGCAACTACATAATCCACGAAACAAGGTGACGTCACATTTTGTGGCACATGAATGGGTCATGATTGCAAATGGGTTTGCAAACAAACGTTTCATTCACAAGTGGAATATTAGGCATTTTCAGTTTGCTGAACCAATGAATAAAGTAATCAGTGATTTTTGCTGCACTTCCCTTACATCCACGAATCAAGGTTACCCGAGTGTATATGTATTACGCTGTGTGAGTCTGTCAGTTTTTGTGAGTCAGTGATGTGTGGTGCTTGTGCTAGTTTTACTCAGACACATCCTGCGATGACCCCTCCATGTGTTTGTTCCAGTGCCTGCTGTGTTGGAGCATGAAGCTATCGCAGGTCTGACGGCCAGTAAACCCTCTGGTCTCCGCGGCCGCAGCAGCAGCACTGCCCGGGATCCTGACGACGATGACAGCAAGGTGTACTCCCTGGACTCACTCATGAGATCGGTGAGAGCATTCATGCGTTATTTCAGCACAAGAAGCAGGACGTTAATCATTACTTCGTCTTATTGAGATTGGCGCTGAACTGTTCAAAACTCTCTTACTTAGATATAGACTTGCCACAGTTGTGGCGCAGATTACTTAAATCATTACTAAGTCTTATTGAGATTGGCGCTGAACTGTTCAGAACTCTCTTACTTAGATATAGACTTGGCACAGTTGTGGCGCAGATTACTTAAATCATTACTAAGTCTTATTGAGATTGGCGCTGAACTGTTCAGAACTCTCTTACTTACATAAAGACTTGGCACAGTTATGGCGGAAATTACTTAAATCATTACTTCGTCTTATTGAGATTGGCGCTGAACTGTTAAAAACTCTCTTACTTAGATATAGACTTGGCACAGTTGTGGCGCAGATTACTTAAATCATTACTAAGTCTTATTGAGATTAACGCTGAACTGTTAAAAACTCTCTTACTTAGATTATAGACTTGCCACAGTTGTGGCGCAGATTACTTAAATCATTACTAAGTCTTATTGAGATTGGCGCTGAACTGTTCAAAACTCTCTCACTTAGATATAGACTTACCGAAGTTGTGGTGCCTAACGCTTAAGACACAACTCACTCACAGAATACAGAAACTTGCTGACCATTTTATTCCATCAATTATTCTTGTTAACAGTTGAACAGCTTCATGAGGATAGTGACACAGCACGCTGTCGACCCTGAGCTTGTCAAACAGATATTCAGACAGGTGAGAATTGAATCAGGTGAACAATATTCTTGAGATTTATGTCAGACATCAATAACAACAACAACATAATGGTCATGACCAGATAGATGATTGGAAGTCATCATACTCTGATAGCGGGGATCTTTGTATCATTCACTGGATTCAGCGTTCGAAATACCTGCCTGTCTGACCGCCCAGGACGGGTTATTTTCAACACGGACTGCCAGATTCTCTAATTCTCCTGCCCGACGGTCGGGTTAAAATTTAGACATGTACTGGTATGTGAAGATATTTTGTGGGCAGGTCAGTTTTGGTCAGGGCTGGCAAGTTTTACATCTAACCCGCCCTGTGGTCGGGCTGAGTTTCATACCCTGCAGGTTTGTCAGCTTCAGACTTTGTTGCAGTCATTTAAATAGAATACTGCTGAGTGATAGGTCCCCCCCAAAACGAGTTTTATTTCTGTTCGGCTGTCACCATGGTCAGACTAATTTAATGATTTCAGTATGTGATTATGTGATGTTCTGAAGTCATTTGTCTCTTGCTAAATGCCTGTGACAGACTTCAAGCATTGATGATGATGATGATGCCCAAATAATAAAGATAATTATGATAAGGTGTTAATGGTGTTATTGATGCAGGCGATGATGATTGTGATGGTGATGATGATGATGATGATGATGATGATATATCTGTGTTCCAGCTCTACTACTTCATCTGTGCTGGAGCACTCAACAACCTCCTGCTGAGGAAAGATATGTGTAACTGGTCCAAGGGCATGCAGATCAGGTGAGTTGTCTTCCTGTCCTACGGGGACAAGGAAATGAAACAATGGCACATCAGGTAACTATAATGTATCTGCGTGGGATAGTGTGAAACTGCAACAAAATATCTAGCATTTTATATATCTCGCATTTTATATATCTCAGCACACAAATGTACAACCTGCGAAGATCAGGGTTAGAATTGGTCTTTAGCAACCCATGCTTGTAAGAGGCGACTAACAGCATCGGGTGGTGAGGCTCGTTGCCTTGGTTGACACGTGCCATCATATCCCGTCTGTGTAGATCAATGCTCATGACGTTGATCACTGGATTGCCTGGTCTATATTTGATACAGATGACTGCCATATAGCTGGAATTTTGCAGTGTGCAGTGTTAAACAAAAAAACAACAACACAGAAGTACTCTTACACTTGGTCACTGGCTCACACACTAACTCTTGCATTCATGCACTTCCATAGAGTGCACTGACCTTGAACCCATGACCTCACCTGTTTGTGTGTGATGCTACAGGTACAACATCAGCCACCTGGAACAGTGGCTGCGAGACAACAAGCTGCACGAGTCTGGCGCTACAGGCACGCTGGACACCGTCATCCAGGCGTCGCAGCTGTTGCAGGCTAGGAAGACCGACGCCGATGTTGAGAGCGTGTGTGAGATGTGCTCCAAACTCACACTTCCACAGGTAAGTCAATTCCCAGTAATAAAAAAATGGGAGTATTTATGACTCTGGTCATAGCCAAAGCACGGTCAAAGCATTGTATCATTACCCCTGCGTTTCTTGTACTGCTGTGATTCTGGGTAACAAAAGGTCCCAAGCAAACTACGTTTGTTGTTCGATGTTATTACTGGATGAAGTCATTGGGCTCGATGACATGGCTTAATCAATGACATCATATCCAGGCACCAAGTCACAATGTTCATAATATCCCTCACTTGTTTATCTGACCCTGGCTATACTGGTTCTCTAGTAATGCTAGAGCAACCCCACAGGACACATCACAATGCTAAGGCGTTGCCGAGCAATGTATTTACTGCAGAAAGATAAATTTATTGTAAAAGTGCAGAAAATAGCAATATAGCTCACTCTTAATACAACGCTTGATCCACCATTTCAGTGGTGTGTTTGTGGATTAGTAAGATCCTGGACCTGTGCACACCCGTGGACGAGTTCTGTAGAACTGCAGATAACAGCAATATTCCTCACTTTATTCACCGTGTGTGTTTGTAGATCGTGTAGATCCTGAACCGCACTTTTAATCTTTATTCACCGTGTGTGCTTGTAGATCGTGAAGATCCTGACCGGAATGGTAATTTGTGCTTGTAGATTGTGAAGATCCTGAATGGCAATTGTAATCTTTATTCACCGTGTGTGTTTGTAGATCGTGAAGATCCTAAACGGCAATTGTAATCTTTGTTCACCGCGTCTGTTTGTAGATCGTGAAGATCCTGAACCTGTACACGCCGGTGGACGAGTTCGAGGAACGAGTGCCAATCTCCTTCATCAGGAAGATCCAGGAGAAGCTCCGGTCCCGAGAAGGTACCACCAACACTCTCCTCATGGAGACCAAGTTCTCCTACCCCGTCACCTTCCCCCTTCAACCCATCCTCCATCGCCATGGAAACCATCGAGGTGCCTGAGCAGCTCCATCTAGGATTCCTCAAGAGGATATGAGGAGATAACTGTGTTGATTATCTAGGAAATAGCATGGTCGGGCTATTGTTGGGAGTCATGTCATGTATAGAGACAAATTTACATCTGACACTGAAAACACTGAAGATGAAATGTTGGATTTGTTACTCGACAAACTATCTTCCTGTTCTGTTTGAAATATTTCAAGATTTCAGTTCAGGATGGCAACCAGTTGACTCCGAGCTACAGTAGTCGATTCTTTCACCAGGAACCTATTGTGTATATTTTGAACAGGATCCTAATGGATCATCACTTCACAAGTCACAAAACAAAAAATGGATCAATGATCCAGATTTGGAATCACAAGTGAAAATGGGCTGATATGTGATCCAAAAGTATCACTTCCAGGAATGTCACCCTCTAAAGGAGCATCAACGGTCTGTTGGATCGAGGTCTGTAGGATCATGGTCTATTGGATCGTGGTCTGTAAGATCATGGTCTGTTAGATCGAGGTCTGTAGGATCATGGTCTATTGGATTGAAGGCTGTAAGATCATGGTCTGTTGGATCATGGTCTGTAGATCATGGTCTGTTGGATCGTGGTCTGTTGGATCACGGTCTGTAGGATCATGGTCTATTGGATCGTGGTCTGTAAGATCATGGTCTGTTAGATCGAGGTCTGTAGGATCATGGTCTATTGGATCGAAGTCTGTAAGATCATGGTCTGTAGGATCATGGTATATTGGATCACGGTCTGTAAGATCATGGTCTGTTAGATCGAGGTCTGTAGGATCATGGTCTATTGGATTGAAGGCTGTAAGATCATGGTCTGTTGGATCACGGTCTGTAGGATCATGGTCTATTGGATCGAAGTCTGTAGGATCAAGGTCTATTGAATCACGGTCTGTTGGATCACGTTCTGTGAAAGCTGTGAAGTGATTACTGCAGACTGTAAGCATTTGTGATAGAACAGTGTTCGAGCGTTGATCAAACCAAGAAACAGACAACAACAGTTTCAACCCGTTTCTATGGTTACAGTTGGAACAAGTCAGTACAGATGGTGGTTTCAGCCACAGCACTTTTAATCATCACAGGTTATGTGGGCAGGGGAGCATTCAGGGAATCTTATTAATTTGAACCCTGATAATCTGGAAAGCTTTCATTCTGGCAATTAAAATGATGTAGATGTAACTACACACTTTGGGTCGTTGATGGGACATGTGGTTTTCAATGATTTCACTGTTCTGGATTTCACGACAGATCATCAAATTTTCATGGGGGTTAGTACAGTTAACACTGAATTTGCAGGATTTCACTACATATGAGCAGGAAATTAGCAGGATTTTATTGCTTAAAGGCAGGAAATAAGTAGGATTTCACTGAAGATTTGCAGGAAATTAGCAGGATTTCACTGAAGATTTGCAGGATTTCATTGAATATTTGCAGGATTTTACTGTAAACATACTGTCTGACTATATAACAAAACTAGGTAGGGTACTCTTTGTTATACACAGTTGCCAGCTGGTTAAAATCTTTCGTATTTGTACAAATTCGCAACTTAGATGTCTTATCCCTAAATAATAATCATAATATGCTAATCTGGGTAAAACAATTCACGAGGAATAAATTTTTACAGACACTAATAAGAGGGGGGCATCATTTAGCCTAACACTCTTGTTCATTGACTATTTATGGTGTTGCACCTGATTTGTGGAGACTGTCTACACAAATCACTGGAAGTTAATATGGTCAAAACAGAGTGAGTGAATTTAGTTTTACGCTGCTTTTAGCCATATTCCAGTAATATCACAGCGGATGACACCAGAAATGGGCTTCACACGTTGTACCCATGTGGGGACTCGAACTCGCGTTTTCAGCAAGACAAGCGGACCGTTTAACCGCTAAGCTATCCCAAGCCCGATGGTCGAAATGGAAACCTTTAATATCACCAATATCTTGGGGTTTTGGCGTCCTGACCAGACGATTGTAGTAATACATTGATTGTAAGGTTGGCAGCCACGTGCACGTGAAAACTCGTTAGGGACATGGTGTTGTATGGACATATGGACATTGTACACAGGATGGACCAGCGTTAGTTGTTCAAAGTCTTAATGGGCGTATCTGTAATATTGCATGTCAAATATATTTATCAAATATCAAATGTTGATATATTCTGTGTGTAAACAAGCCATGCTGGTGTTGGACAATTGTTGTGCAATAGTTCAACAGTTAATATATCTTATATTAAACCAAACTGCTAGAACATATACCGGTATAATTTATATATTATATATATGGTATTATTATTGGAGTTACGAGTAGATTATTCTTTTCCTTGATTATCACGTCATACTTGTTCATTTTACATTAACCCATTATGTATCAGCATGATTGTCAATAAATGAGAACTGATCGTAATTAATAAATTATAAAGTAAACTATGACTCTTATTGGCAAATTGTTGCCAGTTATAAGCAAACTTTGTATGGCTAGCACAGTGCCAACATCCAAGGGAGATAATTGCAGTATATGGCTCCCAGTGGTTCATTTGTTATGCACAGGAATGTTGTGATTCTGATTGATGTGGGCTCAAGTTAGTGTTTTGTGAAATTTTACCAAATCGGAATGGATAGTCAGACTCAGTGACCTTGCTGATTGTGGGTCATCGTTCCCTGTCATCGCCGATCATGCTCATGATATCGACCACTGGTTTGCCTATCAATTATCTCTACCACACATCACGAATATGATAAATAACCATTCCTTATATTTCCAAGAAAACTGACTGCCATAGAGATAAAATGCCCATTTCTATCATTTTGCTGGTTTTCCCCTCTTTTAAATACTCCTGACTTGATAGTGAAACTTAAGGGGTTAATGTGATCGTATCCTGTATGTATCCCCTGTAACCATGGTAACCAGTCATGTGACACTAGTGTATATATGCTGTATAGACAAGTCGATGTTGAAACTGCGGGATCATTAGAACTGCTAGATATGTGTGCGTATATATAATGTATTGATGTTGTCTGTGGAACCAGGACTGAAATCTATCAGACCACCACATGTAATATTTCCTGCATCACGTCGTATTACATGTGTATTTAGTTAATGTTACACAATGAAACCTCATTATGAACACCACATTTTGATTCTGTCAACTTTGAAAATTAATTTCATTTATTTGTATATTCTTGAGATTAAGGCCCTGTTCTCATAATCCTTTGTTACATTAGCAGGGGTGGAAATAACCCATTGCCCGACGTCCGAGTCCAGTGTTTTTTCTGTGGGGCAAGCAAATTAGTATATCACACTGTACTGGTGTCCCGTTGACTTTCCAATGTTAATTATGTTGTTTATTTAAAAAATCAGCAAGAAAACGGTCGGTATACTGGAAAAAATATCAGTGCAAGTGACTTTACATGTGCCACTATACCGGAGTACACTATCAATTTTAAAGTTATTTCCATCCCCTGAATAAGTATAGTACCTTGGATCCTGTCATGTATTACTCAACTTTTGATAGGGATAATTAGATATGTCATTGTTTAAATATACTGTTGACATATTATGAGCATCAGTTTCCATGTATCTTGGTAAACAGGAAAAATCCCTAGCTTATGTTGAGTCGTATATTTCAAACACTTTGATTGACAGTTTCTTGCTTGACTGTTTCCAAAATCTGAAATGAATCAGTAATTTACAAAAGATTTCATAACACATAGCAGACTTTTAAACCTTGAGGCCTGTCTGTTGAAATTGACAGACCGTTGTATATTTCACAATATGTCACAACTGTCACCACAGTGCTGTGTGTTCATTGGTTGTACATTTCTGATTGTTGATAGTTGTTGGTTATTTATTGCACATGTATGTTAATGTGTAAGATTCCTGTTTGTACAGCTGAGGTGCAGACTTTTATGCGGCATTCGTCATTGACATGATACAAAGATGGGGTACCCAGAGTGTGTGTCAGAGAAGGGATTGTTTAATGGAATAACCAACACAATCATAAACTCGACGTTCAAAAGAAAGTACACACCTGATTCTTTGGTAAAATATTTTCTTTAAAACAACATTATTATTTAAAGTGTTTTGATTCTGCCTTGTTACAAACATTGTGCAAGTGTTTCCAAAACACCACTGATATTGTACCCAATTACAACATTGCTAGCAAAATATTTATAGTTTTAATGGGAATAGTCCCCAAACACCAGGTGTGTACTTTCTCATGTACGTCAGTATATTTAGTCACAATGTTGCATGTTTCACTGTCTCAAGGATATGAAATATATTTATCTGGTCATGTATTTATTATAATTCTTAAGCCAGGCCAATATATATTTATCTACACCAAAGGCCAACACCCAAATATCTTTTTTTAAAATCAATCAAATAGAAATAAATAAATTGCCAAATATGAAAGTAAAAATGTTAATTCTGTGCTTTATAGAAAAAGATCTTATTGATTGGTTGATGCTTTTTTAATCATGAAAAAGCTTAACAAAAGTAGAAAGGTTAAAGAGAATAATAGACTTTTTGTAAACAAATTCTGTGTTTCGATTGAAAAATGTTTTTTTGAAATTCTGTTTCCATTTAACCAAGAAACCAAATTGACCTGGCTTAATTATGACATAATTGCTGAAATATTTCTTATTCTGTGTACCACAGGGGGGTGCAATGTAGATACCTATTATTGTTACACTGGTACATCGAATATAAGATAAAATATATGCTACATTGGTACATTTGGCTATGACCAAAGAAGGGAGATAACTCACTATTATATGTTCATTTGTCACATTGTACATGTAAAACAAAAGGTATCAAAATTTGTCAATCTCAGACAATCGTTTGGGTAAAATGAGAATAATAATAATTATCTACTTTGAAAAATAATCATTTTATGCTGACTAAATACTTTGGAAACGTGTGTAAATTATGTAAAATATATGGAGACAAATATCATTTGTTGAAAAGCACTTTCTAGTCTAAACTAAATATTGAATGATTTAGTGGATGTACAATTATTTAATGCTGTATCTATTCCACAAAGTGATCTTAGCATTGAGACGTTTATAGATCCCAAACTATAAACTTATGACATTCGTCCTCAATAGATCTCCTTGTGGAATTGGGATTGTAGCCTCTGCTCTTTGTAATCGTATCAGTATATCAGTTCTGTACCCATCAATTCCTCCTTTCTGATCTTATAATCCCAGAAAATTCTTCAGACATTCCTTTGCAAATGTGATCAGTTTTCTACATTCAAAATAAATCTCTTTAAATTGTGTATTAAATTCCGATCAAAGCTTTAATGTCCTATGATCAGTGGCATTCCATCAAGCTAATATTTTAAAAGAAATATATGAATTTAATTTTATTACGTTTATTGATAAATCAGGTTCTGCAGTAGCACAGATTGGATCTTTCGATAGAATACCTTCAATATTCATGTTCTGAATTCTAGGTGTTCCGTGCTTTCATTCACCAGTATAGTTTGTTCAAGACATTGTAACTATGGTAACCATTTCCACATATACCACCTTGGAATCAAAAGTCATTATTTTGTATACTTGTTTCTTATTTTTTCATGAAGTTATATTATTTCTTTTCATATAAATCCTATATTTACATGTAACCTACTTTTACACCCTATTCCTATGTGTCCGTTCGGTTGTGAAACTTCTTGTGAAACCATGTGAGTGAGTGAGTGAGTTGAGTTTAATGCTGTTTTGAAGAGTATTCCAGTTCTATTAAGGCATGTAAGTTTAATGTGATGGGAAAGTCTGTATTGATGCAGTCCTTAGATTTTACCTCCTCTATGAAGCCTGCAAATGGATAGGTACTGTCAAAACTAGAAACGTAACTGAGGTGAACTGGGATTTGATCTTGTTTTCTGGCTTTCACAGTGAATTTCACAGCATTGGAAAAACCCTCAAAACTACTGGAGCATCAATTGAAATGTTTGCTGTAAGACTTGCCCAGAAGGTGGGATGCTTACCATACTGTGAAACTTCTTGCGCCAGAGATTTTTTCTAGACTATTAAGAGACTGCTATAAGGCCCAGGGCCTAGATTTTCGAAGCTCTCTTTGCGCTAAGATAGTCGTAAGTTAATGTTAATGTATGCACTTACGACTATCTTAGCGTTAAGAGAGCTTCGAAAATCTAGGCCCTGGTCTGCAGCAAGTGTCATAAACATTTCCACAATTGGGACAAAAACATTTCCAAATGGAAGTCTCAACATGTAATGATAAATTACCTCTGAGTTTGAGAAAGGGAGGTCTATAAAATTCCTGATTTTGAACAAAATATTGATTATTTTGGTGATTTGCCTGTCAGTTTTACTAAGAGTCTAGGGCCCCAATACACAAAGTGTTCGTAATGTTACGACCTATCGTAACTCTATACTTTATCATAGGTTTAAGAATGTCATTGTGGTACAAACGTTTTGTGTGTCAGACCCGAGGATGTTGTTTTTTGGCCATCTTTTTTGCATTATTGTGACAAAAAATATTTGAAAGTTATTTTGAGAAAGTTAAAAGATTGACAAAATGCTGTGATTTGTCTGGACAAAACTCATTGACACACACAGTTTGCTGATCGGACATTGGTACAAAGGCCAAAGACAGGTTCCCTGGCCATGATGTCAGTGGCCTACACAAATATATTCGAAAAAAATCCATTTTTCCCATCCGATTTCTGGAATATTCTTAAAATGACATTAAACTTGACTCACATTGCCTTCAGGTAGTCATAGCAACGTAATCACTGAACATACTCCAGACTATTGTAAGCCATGTTGGAATGTGCAGAACTATATTCCATACAACTACTCATGTTGCCATCACACACAAGGTACACAAGAGAGCACAGAACAAATAGACCATGGCTTTTGTGATATTGATGTTTAGGGGTGCGTTAGCATGTAGGTGATATATCTGTGTATACTACTAAAGAGATGATATAGAGATAAAGATGCCATTCTTGAAATGTTCAAAAGTTGAATAGGCCACTTCAAGGCTTAATCAGTTTGACGATGACCACGATTGCATTTTGAATTAGGGCCATCCTTTTTATGAGGTATCAAATTGGTGAATTATACCCTTAACAAATGTTGGGTTGAGGTCACACATACAGTTGCCGTCAATCTGGCTAGTTATACCCCAATTAATTTTGAATTGAGCATATCCTCTGTATGAGGTATCAAATGGTGAATTATGTCCCTGTTGAATGTAGAATTGAAGCCATCCTCTTTAGGATTTATCAAATTGGTGAATTATATCCCTGTTGAATGTATAATTGAAGCCATCCTCTTTATGAGGTATCAAATGGTGAATTATGTCCCTGTTGAATGTAGAATTGAAGCCATCCTCTTTAGGATTTATAAAATTGGTGAATTATATCCCTCTTGAATGTAGAAATGAAGCCATCCTCTTTACGATTTATAAAATTGGTGAATTACATCCCTGTTGAATGTAGATTTAAGGCCACTTCCACCTTACATGGTATCAAATGTTGAGTAGAATAGCTTGTCTTACGAAACATTATCATTCCTGGGATTCACGTGAATGTTTGTTTGACATAACATGCCGATTGTATATGTATTTGACAATTGTTTAACAGATTAAATAGAACACAATATGTACATACTGAAGTCCCATGGTGCAATGTTGCGCGGACAAACCTCGTTTGTTTTCCTTTTTACATATTCGTAATCAAACGGAAGAGACGATAATTAATCCGTCACTTCAATAGCTCATCAGGCGTAGTATTGGAGATGTCAGACTTATTGATGTTCAATGTCAGTCCCAATAGGTTAGATCAGCTGTTTTAGTCACAACCATGTGATTAAAATAACTTTCATATCATCCTGCACAGATTAAACAAAAACACAATTTTTCGTAAATTTCACCATGAAATTTTAAATATTATTGTTTATATAAGTAGTTGAAAGGTAGGTAGAATATTGTTATGACAGTAGTTGCCAGGCAAGTAGTATCTGTATCAGAACATCCTTGACCTTGATGTGAAAATTGTGTAAGGATGTCGCGCGCTTTACACACTTTAGGGATTGAATGTAATGAGAATGTTTTGTTTGGTTGTACATACTTGGTTCTTGGTCAGCTTTTACGTATGAGAGTGTGCTATTTATTGCAAAAAACCTGATCATTTTATGATGCAAGTGTCTACTTAATATCTGTGAATATTCCAATCCTTGTGTAGCCATGTCTTTTGCCCAAGCGCTAATAGACTGTGAGCCCAGGCTATAAGTGGCTTGGTAACCATGGTAACTAGAATAATAAATTTGTAGATGCCATGTTAGAGATGACGCTATGACAAATGGTGGTCTTTGTGATATGTAGTATAACTTGTCAGCCAATGAGAACCCACACGAACATTGATTAGCCAATCAGTGAGGCAATAAACCACTAGAAAATGACTCGTCTTTTGTTGTTGTTTTTATTAAGGGATTGTCTCCAGTTATATGTGAAAACCAGAGATGTTAAAAAATTATGTCTTGGGCAACTTTTGTTGTTTAACGCATTCCTCAGCAATATTCCAGCTGCATGGCAGCAGTCTGTAATGACCGATTGTTGGAAAAGACAATCCAAGGATCAACAGCATGAGCATCAATCGACACAAACTGTTACAATGTGATGTCCTCGCAGTGTAGTGGCAATCAACGTTAGTTGATTGTTGTGTTACGCTCCACCCATCAATATTCCAGCTATGTGGCCGTCGGTAAATAATCAAGTATGGACCAGACAATCTAGTGATCAACAGTATAAGCATTGATGTAAGCAACTGGGATACCATAACGTGCCAAGTAAGTCAGCAAGCCAAACAACCCGATCCTGTTAGTTGCCTGATAGTCGAAGATTGGGTTGCTGAACACCAAGTCTCTTCGTGGGTAAAACAAGGTGAGTGAGTGAGTATTGTTTTACGCCGGTTTTAGCTTTTACTCCAGCAACATCACAACGAGGTACACCAGTTACCCGTGAAGATCTGGGTTAGAATCGATCTTCAGTAACCCATGCTGGCGACTAACGGGATCAGGTGGTCAGGCTCGCTGACTTGGTTGACACGTCATCAGTTCCAAATTGTGCAGATTGATGCTCATGCTGTTGATCACTGATTGTCTGGTCCAGACTCAATTATTTACAGACTGCCGCCATACAGCTGGAATATTGCTGAGTATGGTGTAAAACTAAACTCACTCACTCACTTTAACCACTAAACTAACCACTAAACTACGCTTTTAACCACTGGCCCTGGGGATCAAACAAAGAACCCATGGGGAATCAAACCCGGCTCCTCGGCGTGACGGCGACGCTTTAACCACTAAGGCTACCCCCCCGCCCCTGGCCCTTAGGGGATCAAACTAAGAACCCTTGGGGAATCAAACCCGGCTCCTCTGCGTGACGAGCGACCGCTTTAACCACTACGCTACCCCACCACCCCTGGCTCTTAGGGGATCAAACAAAGAAACCATGGGGAATTAAACCCGGCTACTCAGTGAAGCGTGCGGCGCACCGCGCTTTAACCACTAGGCTACCCCACCACCCCCTGGCTCTTAGGGGATCAAACTAAGAACCCCTGGTGGGGAATCAAACCCGGCTCCTTGGCGTGACGAGCGACCGCTATAACCACTAGACTACCCCACTGCCCCTGGCCCTTAGGGAATCAAACAAAGAACCCTTGGGGAATCAAACCCTCGGCGTCGAGCAACCGCTTTAACCACTAAACTACCCCACTGAACCCCCTGGCCCTTGACGAGGGGATCAAACTAAGAACCCTTTGGGGAATCAAACCCGCCCGGCTCCTAACCACTAGACTACCCCACTGCCCCCTGGCTGTTAGGGGATCTTTAACCACTCAAATGCGTGACGAGCGACCGCTTTAACCACTAGGCTACCCCACCGCCCCTGGTTCTTTGGGGATCAAACAAGGACAGGTCAGCTGGGAGGATATGAATGGGGTATTCATGTTTAAACCACAGCAAGGTGTCTCGGGGGACCGACAGTCTGGACTAATAAAAGCAGACATCCATACACATCAATGTAGAAGTGCAATATAGAACATTAAACCCAATGATCACATCACCATCAACCAATGAATCAAAACTGGTTCCAGCAATGAGTGTCCTCACGAACATGTTGAGAGGCATTCATTTATGAAAATATTCATCTGTCCAATCCATATCCCGTAAGTGTCTCTGGTGTCTCTCTAGAAGGACTTGAGGATTGACTGATTGGTTTTTGTTTAACACAGCATTCAGCATTATTCCAGCTAAATGGCGATGGTCTGCAAATAATCGGGTCTGGACCAGACAATCCAGTGATCAACATCATCGGCATCGATCTACGCAGTTGGGATACGATGGAATGTGTCTACCAGTCAGCGAGCCTGACCACCCGATCATGTTAGTCGCCTCTATCGACAAGCATGGGTTACTGAAGACAAATTCTAACCCATATTTTCAATGGTCAGCCACATTGTGTCTTGACCACAAAAGGGTTCATCTCACTATCTGAAATTAGAAGCATTTCCAGTTTTATATAACTTTCTTATTGGGAAAACAAGTCAAATGCATCCTGTTTTGAAAGCAAATTCTATACATCTAGACTCGTCTAAAACTTCGAAGCCCTACTCGAAGACCTGGGTTCAATTCCCCACAAGGGAACAATGTGTGAAGCCCATTTCTGGTGTCCCCACCATGATATTGCTGGAATATTGCTAAAAGCGGCTTAAACTAAACTCACTCACTTACTCAAAGCCCTTCTGGTGTAACATCACTTTCTGACTAGTTAAACATGTGCTCTATAAATTTGGGCTCAGAAAGGTCCTACCAACAGATACTTTAATAAATTCTTTGTCTGGTGATGAAATTAGTCTAATGATTAATAGGATTCAATTGAGCAAGAATACAAAGAAGCTGAGGTGAAGATGGTTTATTGAACATAGATGTTATTGGACAGGGCACAAAAGACACCTTCTTTCAATGCAGGGGTTCAATTTTTTTTTAAAAAGCCACTTGCCACAGGGCAAGTGACTTTAAGAAAGTAACTTGTCCTGACTAATTATCCACTTGCCCTGATTTTATGACATAATTATGAAAGAAGAAATCAACATGGTATTTGATGTTAATGTTTACTGGACTATTTATTGAAAAGTGATAAATAGCAAAGAAAGATAACTCTACTTTATTATCATTGCAAAATTTAATAGCTACGTTTTGAGCAGATATGAAATTAAATCCAAGTTTATTTGCAGTTTGAAACCATAAGTGGAAATTATCTAGTAGCCCACGGACAAGTAAGATACCATTATTTGATTGCCCGAAATGAAAACCGACTTGTCCCGGGCGTCGGACGATGGGATTTTTGAACCCCTGCAATGACTGATCAAGTGATTTAATATGCTCTTGAAAAACACCTATTTAGTGCAGGTAACGACATCACCCAAGCATCCTTAGCAAATATATTCAGGGCTTGATTTAAGAGAGGTTAACCTACTTGCACCAGGTGCAACCTAAGATAGAAACCTAGTTGCACCAGCCAAATTCCAGTTGCACTGTCTTTATTGCAATATGTAATATCAGAAACATGCTACTGAATTAAATGTTTTATTTCAGAAGTTTACCCACTCAGAAATTGACTTGCACCTGGTGCAAGTTAGACTATATCTAGGTTGCACTTTGTAATATTGGGTTGCACCTGTGCAAGTAACAAAGCACTAAATCGAGCCCTGATATTTATGAAAGTCCATAAAAGTCCAATGTTCCAAGGGTTATTGAGGATTTTCAAACTTTATGAACAAGTGTTGACATAATATTATCTTTTGAACATATTTGCTATGTACAAAGTTCCAATCTGTGTCTTCGGGTGTAAGGAGTATATTTAACCAGCTTCAGTGCCACAAAGATTAGTGATGTCATTTAATTGTTACCTCATGGTAATCGAAAACATCACAATGGTCTGCGATATCTGTGGGAGACAGGCATCGATGACAACAATATGTAAATTCACTTGATCTGTTTCATACTTTACACAAATGTTAGACATTTTCATATATATATATAGGCTTCAACAGTACAAAAAACTAAGTACAGCTGTAATACAAAGAAAAGTTTGAAAAAATAATTATCATTTATTGAATTCACACGATTCTTATCTGTTTAAAAAGAATCGTGGTCCTAACATGCCAAAGTCTCTTACAACATAGAAATGAAGTCATCCACAACAAAAAATCCAGACTGAGTTATCATGGTTACGTACCTGTTTCACAGACCCTTAATTAAATCAACTATGTGATCAAAGTAATTTTCACATCACCGTGCACAGGTTACTATAAATCTAAAAAATCATTACCTAAATTTCACCTAGAAAGGTAGTTACGATGGTAGCTTAGGTAATTAACTTATCTGCAACAAAACAATATGTTGACCATGCTTAGTTACCATGGTTACACAGACTCTTTTATCTTTATTAAATTGTTGAAATAAATAAATCAATAACATACAAACCCTGCAAAAAAATATTCCCCCACCCCCCAAAAAAAGAAAACAAAACAAAACAAAACCCAAACGATTCCCTATCACCATCTGAGGTACCATATTGCAATGGTAGTCTTGGCAACACTGCATCCATGCCAAGCTGGTTCCTCGTCTCAGAGTCATTCAGCATTTGTTACTATGGTAACCCACATTTCCAATGCAAAGTATAAAACTCCCTGTTACTGATTCACTGTCACAATGCACCAATATAAAATAGTCCAATGGGAAGTCACATTCATCCGTCCTGCTGAACAAAAGGGTTAGCAATGGCCTCCATTCCTTCTGATGGACAAATCAACACAACCGACGTCCCTCGACACACAACCAGCCCCAGGTGGCGGGTGTCTTCAGTCAGCTTGAATGGATCATCCGGGTCTGGAAATGAAGGATTAAAATCTGTTCACCATTTGACACCAGTGACTGACTGACTGACTGACTGACTGAGTTTGGTTTTACGCCGCTTTTAGCAATATTCCAGCAACATCACGGCGGGGGACACCAGAAATGGGCTTCACACATTGTACCCATGTGGGGATTCGAACCCGGGTCTTCGGCGTGACAGGCCAACGCTTCAACCATTAGGCTACCCCACCGCCCCCTGACACCAGTGATGAATTAAGGATTCAAAACTAAGTGTCCCTGGGGAAGGAGTTTTTCATTTGGAGTAAGGATATACTCCGAAACGTTGTGTTCCTTATAATAAAGAAGTTGACATCCATGAAAAATTCTCTTCTTTATGTGTATCATTTCTAAATGCCATTCAAAGACCTAAGTTCCAAATTTGGAGAATTATTTTTGTTGAAAATTTGGTGGAAAAGTTGAGTTTCCTAAATTCAGCATATTCAGAGGTATTGTAAAATCCACAATTTAATTTTTGACCTGGTGCTCGTTTTGGGGAGGGTCCATTATGATCAAATTGTGTACCCGTGAAGATCAGCGGTTAGACTGACTGACTGAGTTTGGTTTTACGTCGCTTTTAGCCATATTCCAGCAATATCACAGCCGGGGACACCAGAAATGGGCTTCACTCATTGTACCCATGTGGGGATTCGAACCCGGGTCTTCGGCATGACGAGCAAACGCTTTAACCACTAGACTACCCCACCGCCCCATCAGCGGTTAGAATTGATCTCCATCAACCCATGCTTGTTGTAATATCGTATCAGATGGTCAGGCTCACTGACTTGGTTGACACATCGTATACCAACTGTGTTGTGAAACAAACAAACCTCTGAGATACTCTGTAGTTCCATCCAGTACAAGATTCAGGAGAGGGTCAAACCCCTTCAGCACCCCTGCAGCTGAAAGACACAATCATACTTTCAATACCACAAGCATTGTCATTCATTTAGTGCTGTAACGATCAGAGCTACAGATAACTTTTTGGGTCATTGAGTTATGTACTCGCTTGTGTTCATCTCAATTGGGTATCCTAATTTTCCTTTGAGTAACCAAATATATTGTACTCACCTCACTCAAACTCAATTGGGTATTTTGCCATTTTCCATTAATTGTAAAAATATAATAAAGTTTAAATGCTATTTACATTGGATATGTAATATGTAATATGAGAAATGATATGAAAGACTGCAAGTTGCCAAGTTCATGTGTTGAAATAGCACCTCTGAATATACCTGTTATTTTATCAATGCACCAGTACGCAAGCTAGGATTCGACATTTTGAGCGTACGCATGTAAGATCAAATTTATTGAGTATTTACAAAAATTCAAGCGTAATTGTACGCAATAGACATCATAAGAATTGAGTTTTCACATAAATATTTGAGTAATTTGCACAGATACGCAGCCTATCTGTACCTCTGAATGATACATTGAACTATCCATGGATTGCAATTGTTGAGTCTCTGATAGCAATTAATCGATGTGTGACTATCGATACTTTAGAAAAGACTTCGGTTGATAAATGCGCAGCGCAAAATACAGGAAGTACTAGATTCGTTCACTTTGACTCCCTTTTACCTCTTAAACAAACTTGATCTGGGTTTCAAGTTTCTTGTCAGTTGTTAAAAGAGACTGAAACTGCTTCAGCTTGTTTTTATTTCATATAAACTCTACATTCATTTGGAAAAACACTTCAAATGAGACAATTCAACGAGAAAAAATTCTATTGCAATAGTATTGTCGCAATAGTTGGTCGCAATAGTATATTGCTATAATAATAGTATGTTGCAATAGTTGGTGCATAATAGTATGTTGCAATAGTTGGTCATAATAGTATGTTGCAATAGTTGGTCGCAATAGTATGTTGCAATAGTTGTTTCCCCCTCAATAGTCATCCCTAGTGATGAGGCCCAGATTAATACATTAATTACATTTGGAGTAAATGGACATTAATTTATTGTTCCTATAATGAGGATAAAAGAATGTTATTTGTAAAACAGCAGGGCTAGATTTGCAGTGGTGCAACCTGAAACTGCAACCTCAGTGCATGTTCGTATTTTTCTGTTCAAAGAACACAGACTTCACCTGGAATATAGAGTGATTATCATAAGTAACTAGTTTGGAAATGTAATTCTGATGACTCTGATTACCCATGCTTGACGACTAACGGGATCGGGCGGTCAGACTCACTGACTTGGTTGACATATGTCATCATATATACCAGTATGATATTTTAAATCATCAGTACCAAAGCTCAAGTAATACGTTTTTGATATTGGGAAGCAGGTGAATCCTGTTTTTGTCATTTACAACAAGGTTCTTACCAAAGACTGCACTGGGTACAAGTAGGTTTCATTTCCTTAATCAAACCCTTAAATAAAAAGATATCTCTATGAGAATCAATGTTAAAATAACTCCGGCATATTACCCTCTCACCCCCCACTGAACTTGACCCGGATGGTCTTGTCGAGGTACTTGGACAGGTCAAGGATACTCTCTTTCTTCTTCTTTTCCTTGTCCCGGTCTCCCTGCTGCTAAAAACACAAAGTCAGTGAGTGAGTGAGTGAGTTTAGTTTTACGCCGCACTCAGCAATATTCCAGCTATATGGCGGAGGTCTGTAAATAATCGAGTCTGGACCAGACAATCCAGTGATCAACAGCATGAGCATCGATCTGTGCAATTGGGAACAGATGACATGTGTCAACAAAGTCAGCGAGCCTGACCACCCGATCGCCTCTTACGACAAGCATAGTTGCCTTTTGTGGCAAGCATGGGATGCTGAAGACCTATTCTACCCCGGATCTTCACGGGTCGCAAACACAAAGAATATGTGAAAGATTACATCAACATTATATACCAGTAGTTTGTTTACTAATGCCCCACTCAGCAATATTCCTGCTATTATGATGATGCAGGGTTTTACCTCGACTCACAAACATGGGGGTCCTAGGGATCGATAATTATTAGTTTTAAGGGTCCTTACAGACAAAACCGCCTCCATGGTGTAGTGGTTAGAGCGTCCGACCAGAGAGCGGAAGGTCGTGGGTTCAATCCCTGACAGTGTCATACCAAAAGACGTTAAAATATGGTACTTGTTGGTCCCTGCCTGGCGTTCGGTATTAATGGGTACAACAAGGACTGGTCGGCTCAGAGTCAGTATAACATGCATCAACCAACAAGACTGACCACCCAATCCTGTTGGTGGCTTCTTACAAGTAAAAAGTTTCTGAAGACTAACTTAGAATTTTCTACCATCTCAATAGTATTAGTGAGGTGAGACGAAATTGGGTTTAATGTCGTGCTTGAGAATATTTCACTCACATGACGATGTGCATGCGTGTGTATGTGTATGTGCGGCTGCTTGTACTAGCCCAGACTGAAGCTGGTTTTATAGTGCTAGCCCACTGAGATACCATGCCCGCAGTAAAGCATGAACACCCCACTCAGACACATAATACTGACTCCGAGTCGACCAGTCCTTGTTGTATCCATTAATGCCGAGCACCAAACAGGGACCAACAAGTACCATATGTTAACGTCTTTTTGGTATGATGCGGTCGGGGATCGAATCCGCGACCTTCCGCTCTCCAGGCGGAGACTCTAACCACTACAATACGGAGGCGGTCCAATATTATTAGTAGTAGTGGCAGTTGCTCCATTATCGCCCAGTGGTTGATATTGTAAGCATCGATTCACTACTGCTATACTATAGATTTTCTCCCTCTTACGACCAGCATAGGTGTTATTCTGACTCAACATCTCGATATGGTCTCTGGGGATAATTTACAAAAATTCTGGTGGTCGTCTCTCTGCTGCTGGTTATAAAAGTATTTTCTTACATGATTATTTTATGAATGTATCTTAAGCGTGGAAATATGCACTGTAGATGTGCACACTACATATTTAGTTATGTTCCCATGTATAAAGTTCTTTCCATTTGTATCAACACCACAGCTTTTTTATGAACATATATGGGAACACAACAGTTTGTACCATTTGAGATCTTTACCCCATATTTTCCATCGAAAGGGATAAATATTTCAGTGTGAAAACAGTCAAGGATCTCTTTGATAACGTAAGCTGTTATCGTATTATTGACTTTTTAAAAGTAATTTAATAGTTGAAAATGTTTGATAAATATGTTTTGTAAATAGATAATATCACAATGACCAATCATGGTGATGATGGTTCCATGCAGGAAGCAAATGTACTGTAAATCCCCCAAGGTCCTTAGTATGGTGATCTACCTTCAGTTGTTGGCGATCTTTAGCCTGTTACATTGTATTGTCTATAGTTTAAGATTTACACGCTAGCTTTACATCTATATCTGTGATATTCTATTTCTTTTTACAGTCTTTCCTTTTTTTACATTCTGGGTTTAAGTGTCATGACTGTATAACTTGTTTCAGTCACTACATGGGTACAATGCTGCCGATGTGACTATAAACATGATCAATCTTAACTCACTCGCACTCACTCACCTTACCTCATATATTTTGGCAGACTCTTAACACAAACATCAGACAACTCGTTTCTATCCATGATTTAAAAACTTATTTGTTTCTATTGATCTGTTATTTTACGAAAGAATAGCAGCCTCAGAAAATCTAGTAAGTATTTTCTCTGAAACTTATTAACTTGACTGCAAACAAATGTCAAAACAAGGCATCAATTAAGACATACAGTCAAATCCCGATGAGTCGAATCGCTGGGGACCAAGTAATAAATTCGACTTATCGATGTATTCGAGACATAGGTATGTCTATGAGGGTAGAAAAAAAGATGATCCTGTCCTAATTCCTCCGCCTGAGCATTTGTTTATCTAATGATTTATTAGGGGCACCTTATCAGTTCCAGTCTGATTAGCATTTCCGTAAAATCACTATCTGCCTTTTGAACTCACCCGTCAACGGCGGAAAGGTGTGAGCCGAGCTGGTTTGTTAATAGGGCCCGTAAGTAGGTCACGGCACTTCGCGAGAGATTACGTTGTTTAGTACTTCCGGTGACAAACAACGTTTTTCGGCAAGGGCGATAACACTGTTACATAGGGTATGCCGTGGATAATCATACTCGACACTGGCTGTGTGAATCAGAAACCTATGCCATGTAACAGACTATGGACTGCTAAAGCACTAAGGCAATGTTGCATGAATAGCACGTGGATATTTGCCAAACAGATGCAGAGTTGTCACAGCGTCGTCTTCAGGCTGGCCCATTCATTAGTCGAGGTAAGTTTGTTACATGGATTTCTTTGTTTTCATTTAAAGGCTGGTATTGTTTAAGCATGGCACGCACAGTAAAGGTGGAGTTGACATGGGTGCAGATTGGTGAATCGTTTGATTGCATTTGATATCTTACAGTGGGATTTTATTGTCCTCCGGAGAGGGGACCTAATAAAATATGGCAGGCAGGTATCCGGTAAAATGTACCCACAAAACTGTGTTAATAAATAAAGTATCTTGCAGTTGGAATTATCCAGAAGATAACTTAATGTGCAATAAAAATCCAGGTGTAATTCTAAAAAAATAAATGTAATGAATTAAATAATAATTTAATAGCGCGTAAACAATGATGATTATAATATTATATCCACTCTTTGATAACAATAGCTCTGAATAGGTGTCTCTCACAAATGTATTCTGTAATATGAGCTTGATTAATATATTATTACAACCCCATTTAGCATTTGGTTATGGTGCAGCATGTTCAGTTAAACATAACATTCACATGCTTAATTTATCAATATCTTGATGTCAACATTGTAAGGAACTGTTTACATTTTATTAAGTATATCATACTTGGTCTCACGTGTGTTATGTATTTTTTTTTTCAGTTGGAACAGATGCACATCTTTAAGAGGAGAAAGAAGGAGGAATAGATTTCTTTATCACCACAATTACCATTGACATCAAGAGCAACACAAACTGAAACAGATCTTCAGATTTCTTTTAACATCTGGTGGTCAAGCAATATACATTGCTAATGAAGAAACAGCAAGTCATTGAAGTGTTGTATATACAGTTATAAAACATATTAAAGCCCTACACAACATCCTTTGGACACTTGCTGGAACAGGAAATGCTTGTAACCAGCAAGGTGTTGTGGAAAGTCTTGTGACATCTTGGGACTCTCAGATAATTCAGTGAGAATTTTAGATGAGTGACCATGAAAGAACATTTGTATTCAAGATGATACTGTTACAGTATTATTTCAGGTTTAGCATCTGGGCAATGCAAAGAATGTTTGATATGTTATGAGGAATTATGTCTTTGGAATAAAATTGCAGAATAGTTATAAAACTTGTTTATTGTTTTTAAGTGTGGATAAAGCAAGCACAAATTGAATGGTTTGGAAGATTTCTGCTTTTAGCCATGATATTGATTTGACAGTAAAGATAATGACGATGGATGTAGGAGATTAGATTTTCAGTGTATATAGCAAAGGTTTCCAAGTGAGAGAGTTGGGTTTTACACCGCTTTTAGCAATATTCCAGCAACATCATGCTGGGGAGAGCAGCAATGGGCTTCACACTTTGCACACATGTGGGGAATCAAACCCGGGCCTTCAGTGACTGTGTGACAAGTGTCAACAGTTTAACCACTAGGTTACCCTACTACTCCAGTTTCCATGAAAAAATATGCTTACCAATGAAAAGTTAAACTTAATCAATGGCATAGGCATGTGATTCTACATGACATTTTGTTGGATTCTTTGTTTTATTTTTTAGATTACAACACTGGTTCATAGCACAATAATCAGTACACGTTATTCTTTTCCATTATTTTAAATCATATTGGTCTAACTGTATAGTGGAAAATATGGAATGCCAGTTACCAACCTTGGCCTCAATGGCAGAATATTTGGAATATATAAGTTACTAAAAATGGGTGAAAAGCACTATATTACATGACAAGTAATCATACTCATGCTGCTATCAGCCAATGTCTGCAGAATCTACAGTCATGACATAGTATATATGCACATTTAGTTTCCCCATGTATTCATCAGTATATTTTACAATACAGGAAATGTCTTTGAGTGATTACCTCTTATTTTGAGTGTATTTGGTCTTGCATTTTTGCCAATTGTGACTTGAAGGTGCTGTGTGCTGCTTCATATTTTGCTTACAGCATAGCAGAACCTCACCCCTGCATAACCAAGAACTAAGTAACACTCATGTACAGTAGATCATAGTACATAGTTCACTCACTCCAAGACATCTAGTACAAAGTGTAATAAATATTGTCCAACAACCAGTTTTATATATCACCTCTAAAATAATGTTTACATAATGTGATAAATAATTGTTTCATGATGAATATTCATATGGCTGAGGGTTTCACATTTTGTTTTGAATATCTGACAGTAGTAACCGAAATAATTGTAACCATGCCATCAAGGTTATTTTGTCGAGCTGTTGATTGATTTGTGACACTATGACTTCTTGTGTGAATAGAAACGTCACCATAAATGGGAAAGTTCATATATTTATAAAAAAAATTATAATGTTACAAGAACTGCTATTTATTCCAGGCATTTGGAAAGACAGGGGCCATTTTGCACATTAGAATAAAAATGCCCCATTAATATTTTGAAGTTTACAATTGATACAAGGGCAGTGGCCCATTCTAAATTCAGAAAATGGCTAATAATCCTGAAACTGTCGAAGGTCTCCATCCCAATCCCTGTATTCAATATATCATTATCAGTATATTTACAGCATGGCAAAGAAACAATTTAATACATGCAGATCCCTGTCATCTATCCAAAGTAAAATTTATAATGCATTTTCTTTCACATTTGCAAAACAACAAACAATTTATTTCTTGTATCTTTGAGTCATTCTGTCACCTGAACTTGCATACAGTCATCCCTTGGACTTGGAAGAGAGTAAAATTATTAAGCCTACCAACTAGTTTACAAAGTATTTATATTAGTACCTCAAGTATTTATACACATGCATTTTACATTGCATGAAGCCAATTGTCTCTATTGAATATTTTGTAACTATTCCAAATTAAAAAACTATTTTTTACTTATCAATATTGATATTTGTTAGAAACTATTTGATCTCAAATAGTTCCTAACAAATATAAATATATTGAATATGTAAAAAATAGTTTTTAATTTGGAATAGTTACAAAATATTGCTGCAGCATAACAAATGTATTTAGAAAATAAATAACAAATTAAACAAACAAAAATATTCTAATTTGGAATTACATACTTTAATTGAAAAGGGAAATGACAGAGTCAATGTTGCCAAATATGAATAGAACATCAACTTGATAAAGTTGGTAACACATGGCTGTTTTATGAATAGCAGTATATGAATTAATAGTTTTATTAATTCAATATAAATACAGATTACTCAAATGCATTTTACGTTAACCATATCATTGATTCCCGAAATATGTTTTGTGACAAACACTGTCCGTGATACTGAAAAGAAACACGTTTAGCGATAGAACTGCACTGGTTGTCAAAAATATATTATAGCTAAAGAAAGGTACTCATATGTTTTCGAATTGACTCATGGTTGTCGGTTGTCTGTAAGGAACCGATAATCCTTGAAGGAATAATAATTTTTCGATCTTATCGTCCCCAAATGATCCAATTATTACGACTGTCACAGCTGTGACAGCCAAGCATGATAGTACACTTGGTCCGGTCTAGTAAGGTCATATTAGGCGGTCGCGCAATTTGGCACCACAACTGGTTCTTGCGTAGTCGCTTGTCACCGGAAATCTAGTAGCGGAAGTAGCGCCTCGCGAGACTTACGGGCCCTATTGGATCAGTTTGCTACACCAATCACCTTCTCATTGACTGACTTCAGCTTATGTATACAAGATTGCTGTTGTTTGAATCTCATGGGACCAAATTTTCTTTTCTAGTCATCGTGTGTATTTATGAGACGAATTCGTGTAACCGGTATTCAAATGATGACAACTATAACAGGGAATGGTCGGGACCGACAGGTACTTCGAGCTATGCATAGTATTCGAGACACCGGCATTCGACTCATCGGGATTTGACTGTATTTCCTGATGCTTCTCTCTTTGAGAAGGCTACTGGAAGCAAAACAGGAAACTGAAACTGTTAGTTGGTGTCTAATGTCACGGATAATCTGCAAAACGAGTGAAAGGTGAATTTAATGTTAGGGATCTTTGGAATGGTTATATCGGTCGTATTGAACTAAAGATGCTAACAATATTTGAATGTGTGAAACTGTGCCATGGACTATATTTGTTTAACTGTGCCATGGACTATATTTGTTTAAGATTTATGCCAGATTTATATATAAGAAAGTGTATTAAATCAAAATTTAAAATAATTAAGCTGGAAGATGTGTGAATGTAGTGCTTTGAAAATATTAATCATTAGGAACGACATGATGAATATATACTGATCTGAACAACTGTATATAATCATGATAACATTCCTGGAAATATATTAATATTATTACACTTCTTGCGGTAAACTGTTACTCACACGTGGACTTAATGAACAGTTTAATGACTTTATTGATTGCTTAAAAAACATATTTTCACTACAACATGCCTATCTACTGCTCAAGTCGAAATAAATTACATTTAATCAATTTCCACAGTTGAAAGCCGATTAAGTTTTTCCGTTCATTATTAAAAATGTAACGTAAATGATACACTGGCTGAACCAAAGCGTGATGCCACTGATGGGGTGACACAACGAACATTGTGTAAGTTGGTGTCACTGTGTTTCTGAATAATGTAGCAGCAAAAATTGTTTTAGGAGGGAATAGAACGCTGCCAACAATGCACTGGCTCAGTTGAAATTACCTGCATTGGTTTCGGTGTTTGTGACATTGTCAAAACTCTGAGCACGTTTTCACAAGAGCTTGCGTTTACTTTCGTTCATGCCGCGCTCCCGCACTTCCGCTTCCGGCATACAAAGTATGAATTGGCTAAAAGCGAAAACCGGTATTGCGAGTAATACCAAATTCATATCCCAAACAGATGTGTATGTTCAATTTGGTAAAATCGAAAGTCACAGCGCACAAAAAATTATTTCATTTGCGATCAAAAAAGACAAAAATGGAATGTGCAAAATTTAAACAAATTGTAACTAGATCTATATCTTTTTAAAACGCCTGGTAAAATTTACATAGTTATATGACAAAGTACTTGATAAAGTGAGTGAGTGAGTTAAAATTTAACGTCACCTCGGCAATAAGTACTGGATAAAGAGTTTGAATAAGTAAATGAAATAAATGAAATTGCAAATAGTATTCAGCGGTGCATTTTGAATGGCGAGTATATCTAACATATAACACTAGAAATATACTATGTTACATTACCCAGTGCTTGACATTACTAAATTTATTCGTTTTTAACAACAACAGAGAATTGTAGCATAAATACACAATGAGTATGGTTTCATGCCGCTTTTAACAATATTCCAGCAATATCACGTCAGGGCTTCACACATTGAACCCATGTGGGGAATCGAACCCGGGTGTTCAGCGTGACGCGAGGACGCTCTAACCATTAGGCTACCCCACCGCTCCGGTCCATTATGAAATCAGGGAACCCGGGTGTTCGGCGTGACGTGCGGACGCTCTAACCATTAGGCTACCCCACCGCTCCGGTCGGTGTCCTCCCATTTGTGAGAGCTCCCAGTTGTGAGACACATTAATTAATGGTTCAGTGCACATAGGTAGTGTTACCACATCCCTACAGTGAAAGTGGGAACAGCCCTGTTGCTGAAGAGTACCCGCAGGAGGCATAGTTCATTAATGAGTTAATTAACACAGAAGACATTGTTCGTTGAAGAGCATTTATTGTTTTCAATAGATACTGAAATACTGAAAAAAGATTATCGTGAACTGGTTATTGCTAGATTTTTCAAACACGTAAATCTGAGTAGGTAAATTAATTTCTCTTTCACATGATCACGAAGTTACCTACACAAAGTGTTTATTTTTTAAAGCCATTCATCTGAGTAGGTTAATTACTTTATCTTTTAGAGTTTTATTAAGTACCTCCACACGATTCAGTTAAATAGCTAATCCATAATTAGCTGGGGTTAATCCATTCTATCAGATAGGGGAGTAAGGTGTGTTTTCTTTGCTAATTACCTACTCCACAGTCTCACAACTGGGAGTCTCACAACTGGGAGTTCTCACAAATGGGAGAGTAGACCCTCCGGTCCATTATGAAATCAGGGAACCCGGGTGTTCGGCTTATATGTACATGCCCATGACTTCAAACAAAGTTAGTGAGTGAACGAGTGATGCCAAACTATATCCTTGTTTGACTGAGGCCCAGATAAGCTGCGTATCTGGGTAAAATACGCATAGAAAATTTCCAATTACGCATTGAAACATATTTGTTGCGTACCAATTACGCATTTAAAATGTTAGATACGCAAAAAGTTTATAACCAATGCGTAGGGAATATATTTATAAAAATCGCTTGCGTAATGAAAAAGACATCGATTGCTATCAAGTTGTACTCTTAGTATAGGACAAGTGTTGTACTGTCAGTACAGGATGAGTGCTTTTTATGAAATCATTTCCATTATATAAAAGTTGGTTTTGATTAGGTATGACATAAGGCAGAACATACCTGCTTAGTAAACTTACTCAATTACATAATACACTCAAGGCCAAAAGAAAGTGGCCCATTAAATTTTTGATATATGAAATTTATTCAACATTGATGAAATTTATTTTCTATTGTTTAACAATCGCCAAAACACACCAATAATGTTGTCATTAGGAAAAATTGACTTCGAGATAAAAAATCGTGAACTTTGTGCAAATGGTGAAATACACATTTTTTAAGGATAAAAGCGACACTACGTCAGAAAAAGAGGCATTTAACGACCGTTGGTATGACACGGACGTTGTGAAACAGGAAAACACTTTAGATATGCCTAGACTTTATTCAGAGCAGCGTGAAAGAGTTATAGGAATGATAAACATGGGAGCTTCTCATGCCCATGTCGCAAGAACGTTTGGTTGTCACAGACATACCATCTATAGACTTATTAAACGTTTCAATGAGACTGGCAGGACTGTTGACCGACTAAGGGAAGGTAGACCAAAGGTCACTACCCCCAGGAAGATCGATATCTACGAATTCTACATTTGAGGAATTGGTTCCTGACAGTTTCGGAATCGGCATCAACGGCACTCGGTCGAGTTGTCAACAGACACACAGTTAGACGACGATTACAGCATGCCGGAATTCGAGCCCACAGACCATTCCGTGGAGCAAAGCTGACACGTCAACATCGCCTGAACAGGTTGATCTGGGCACGTCGTGTTCGATGATGGCAGCTTCGTGATTGGCGTAGGGTTCTATTCCGTGATGAGAGTAGATTTTGTTTATGCCATAACGACGGTAGAACACGTGTGTATCGCCGTCGTGGTGAACGTCGTGCCCCGTCATGCGTTGTGCAGGTACAGGCTCATGGCTTTGGAAGTGTTATGGTTTGGGGAGGTATCTGTGGCGAAATGAAGACGCAATTGGTTACAGTTCAAGGCAACCTGACAGCACACCAATACACTGACAAGGTGTTTCCTCCAGATGTGTTTCCTTTCGGTAATCAACACCAAGGGACATTATTTCAACAAGACAGTGCTCCTGCACACACAGCTAGGATTGTGACAGACTTCATGGGAACCAATCAACGTTTTGCCTTGGCCGTCTCGTTCCCCTGACCTCTCACCCATAGAGCACCTCTGGGACTTTCTGGGCAGGAAAATCAGAATGACACTTAACCCTCCAGCAAACCTCAGACAACTGAAGCAGGCAATTCATGAGGAATTGATGAATATCCCAAATGCCTTCATTAGACGTCTCACAACGTCAATGAGACGTCGAGTACTTGCATGTATCAATGCAGAAGGAGGACACACAAGATACTAAGTAATGCACAACTAAACGTTGACAAATGTGTTGTAATCTGGAGTTCACAGATAGTGTTCAACACAAGTGAAAACATGTAACTTTGCCTTTTGATACCAGTGTCATTTAATTCAATTTTGCTTGAACATTACTTCATGTTTGACGTTGTAATAGCCTCTAGATGTTTAGCAAGTGGCCTTACTATAAACATAAACAGATATGAAATCAATTTTTTGTCTGTGTTGATTTTTATTGAGATTTTTAGCACGGACCACTTTTTTTTGGCCTTGAGTGTACTTAGGTGAGTAAAATCAATGAATACCCACATATTTGAAAGCAGTGGGTAACGGAAAATGAAATACCCACTCAACATTCATAATACCCACTCCAACAAAATACAATGGGTACAATACCCACATGAGCTAAATCTTATCTGGAGTTCTGGTTGTTTGGCTTAAAAAAAGGAAACCTAAAACCAAACTGAGACTTTTCAATTTTCCCTGTCGTTCCATGAACTGCAGTTTTCGGTTATGTGAAATAGTATACAAGAAATTGGAAGACTTCGATCTTTCTGACTGGAAACGAAGAGGCAACTTATTGGTGTTGTCATAGAGTAAACCATTTCAATAAGTTTCTGTAAAACTTCATATATTCAAACAACATAATTGTTTCCATATATATCCAAAGTGCACCGAAATTCTATCCACTTTGTCTGTCTAATGTATTCAGCAATCATTCGGTGTAGCCCTTTTATCATAAACCCCCCTCAGGGCAGGACCCTCAATTCTCAATGCCATCAGTCAATGTCAATTAACATCTCCCCACGTCAGCGGATCTTACGTATGTACATGTGCACAGGTCAATTACCTTGCACAACGTGGCGTAATGTCCCTATGCATAAAACCGGACTCACATGGTCAGTCAGGGAGACCAGTCAGAGACCAAGCAGGGAGACCAAGCAGGGAGACCAGTCAGAAACGAGGCGAGGAAACGGGCCCAGATCATCCCCCGAAGCGGACGGACTGTGCGGCTAGTCGGGGCGTCGGCCAAGGCCGTCGCCTCACCAACGACTACGTCGACGATGAAGAATCGCTGTCCGACTTCTGAATGCGTGTAAGTGACGGAGCGGGTCTCCACATCGGGAACATTGGCGACTCGGTCCCCATGTGCGTTCTGTCACGTGATTTCCATCTTATGTACCATTTCTACCATTATTCCCCAACCATAATAAACATGGCTGCTGCTGTCTTCAACTATACTGCTAACTTTTGTCTTCCGCCTCTTGAACTACCATCCGAGAGTACCACAACGAACGCTCTTGGACAGTTCTAACGGCTTTAGAGAGTTAATAGTGTGTTTTTGACATCTGAGAGTCACGACTCTTTTGAATGTATAGGAAGCGATTGTAAACCTAACAATCGACAAGTGTTTTGTCCCATGACATGCACCTTTCACTGGCTGTTTGACGTTCGGCGTGACGAGCGAACGCTTTAACCAATAGGCTACCCCACCACCCGATCCGAGTAAGAGGCGACTAACGGGTTCGGGTGGTCAGGGATCGGGTGGTCACATGTCATCGTATTTCACTTATATAGATCGATGCTCATGTTGTTGATCACTGGATTGTCTGGACCAGACTCGATTATTTCCAGGCCGCCCTGGATACAGCTGGAATATTGCTGAGTGCGGCGTTAAACAACAAACCAACACATCATTGAATCGAACCCGGGACTTCGAGAAGCCATAACCACATGGGGAGTGAGTGAGTGAGTTAAACTTCTACGTCATATCGGCAGTATTTCAACCATATAGCGACGGGAACAATTTAGTAAATATGATAAATATCTGTCACTAATGACAGTAAAACATCAGCAACATATGACAGAATTCGAGTCTTAAAACTATGTTTTTTTCTAATTCTATAATATTCTCAAAACAAATCGCGATCGATGACATTTAATAATATTAAAACACGAGCTATGGACCACCAGCAACTACAGCTTGGTCACCTCACATTGGATGATGGGGACTTCATTCGCTCGTCACGCCGAAGACCCGGGTTCGATTCCCCATACGGATATGTCATGTGTGAAACCTATTACTAGTGTCTCCCTCCGTGATATTGCTGGAATATTGTTAAAAGCAGCGTAAAACTCACTCACTTACTTCGCACGAAAATCGAGTCTTCAGTACAGGCGTACTGATGTACCTGTGTCTGAACGTAGGTGCTTATGGGACGTCACATGTGTAATACAAGTTTGAGATACAATATACACAAAAGCATATTTTTAAATGAACTTCCGTTTGCTATTTTTTAAATTTCAATTACCATAATATAATTAGTTATTGCGACTCTTGAAAAATTGACACAGAACAAACTGGATTTACATGATATATCATGTCTATGCATATCATCTGAAAGCGTGACATTCACGACCAATATTTTTTACTACCGTATATACGAATAGTACAAAGCGCTGTACTTGAATATATTGAATGTATTAAAGATATTCTGTCGGCGGCTTGCTACATCTTGCATCAACATACATGAAACGTTGCTTCATACACTAGTGTTTATATGTAGAAGCTCTCGTGTTTGTAAGGGCGGTATCTTCCCATAAGACAGACCTCCCAAAAGACAGACCGCTTAAAACAGCACATTTTATGGATGGTTGCATAAGGCTTAAAGGTCACATGCAACCCAAAAATCAAAAACATAATTAAAACACAATTATCACTTCTTCATGACATATAATATGCATTGCTGATTATGAAAAAACAAATAAACAAAATCATAAGCGTACAATCGCAAATCAAAAGTGCAATATTGTGTACATGGGTTTACTTCCCAAGAAACGAAGCAGCCGGGATACCGAACCCAGTCAGAGCGGGTGGGTGTGCACTCAAGTGTAACGGCTGGTTCATTAGCAGATGGCCGCACGGCTCATTGTGTGTGTATAAAGAGATGTTGGGTTTTGTAAATACATGCTCATTTTTTGTGTATAACATTTTGCAATCAACAGACATCATAACATGTCATGTGTTCAAGTATCACCCCTGCCTGTCTGTGTAATTACATAATGTGACAGAGACCGAACTCGGGCCATAAATCAATGCGTTTTTGTTTATGGTGTATAGCCTGATAGGAGTTAAGTTCAAATTGCATGTGGTCAGTGATCGAAGTTGTGTATTGAATATTGTTATTAGCAGACAGGCAGGCAGACACATAGGTGTCAATAAAACAGACATTGAGTTTTGTCTGTGACGACGACATATCTATATCACAGTTAGAAATTCTGTCAACGCTAAATAATGACATTGCTTTTAAGTATCGAACTGAGAAAGTGACTCGGTAAGAAGAACGTGTGGTGAAATAGACAAATGAAATTATATAAACAGTTAATCTACTGTCATAACACATAAAAAGCTCGCGCCTGTGAAATATCAACAAAACATTAGAAAAATAGCTCACACCAAAGCCTTTTCCGAGTATTCACCGGACAACCCGCTTCCAACCTGCGCGAACCTATTTCACTGCGCATGTGCTATGAGCGCAGCCCAGCTGTTGAAACCACTTGAATTCCCCCAAGCGCTGGGGGAAAGTTAGTGAATCGTTTGAACTACGATTTCGCGTGGTTTTTTTCATCGCGTTATTTTTCAACTTTTTAAGTTGAATTTGCATTTTTGATGATTTGTTTCGGCAAGTCCATACCGAAAGGTATCAGAATCTGCAAAGTTGTGTTTTACGTTGCATGTGACCTTTAATAAGCTGTACCCTTGATAATAATGGTATGTGCCCAGATAAAAATGACAACATTAGGTATTAACTATAGTTTTATCAATTCATGTAATGAATTATGATTTTTAAATTAAGACATATTGCATCAACATATATATTATGCCAGATCACATTTACTTGTGAATATTATCAAATACAATTTATATACACGAACCCATCAAACATATGAGACCAAGCACATACTGCCCACATATAATTTATATACATGTACCTATCAAACATGAGACCAAGCACCATATTATTTTACATCACTTGTTTGTCAGTGCACAGATACCACTTATTAGAGTGTCATTTGAACATCATCATTTTCTCCTTTCACCGGCCGCCTCCGTGGTGTAGTGGTTAGAGCGTCCGCCCGGAGAGCGGAAGGTCGCGGGTTCGATCCCCGACAGCGTCATACCAAAAGACGTTAAAAATATGGTACTTGTTGTTCCCTGCCTGGCGCTCGGCATCAAGGACTGGTCGGCTTGGAGTCAGTATAATGTGTCTGAGTGGGGTATTCATGCTTCACTGCGGCATGGTATCTCAGTGGGATAGCTTCAGTCTGGGCTAGTACAAGCAGCCGCACATACACATACACACGCATGCACGTCGTCATATGAGCGAAATATTCTCAAGCACGACGTTAAACCTAAATTTCACCTCACCTCACCTCCTTTCACCTTGTTCTTGGCACACAGGTAGCCATCTAGAAGGGTGATCGGAAAAAGGTCATAGGGGAAAATAACTATTATAAACTATTATATGTTCTCCAGTTATATACTTTGTTTATTCTGAATTTTACTTTCACTTTCAGTAATAAAAAACATCCTGGTCTCCGTGTGATGGATTGCAAAAAGTGCAGTGATCTTAACTCCCACTTGATTGACAGATGTTTATCAGACAGCCGAACTCCTGTGGAAACACTAGAGTGGATCCTCTCCATTATTTCCTTCAGTGTCCTCTATGTGATAATTTAGATTTAATAAATACTTCTTTCAAAATAACATAAGTATACATGTGATTATTCACCACTTAACTCTAAAGTTCCCAAATTTATCAAAGTTTACTTTGTTCAATATTTTAATATGCATCAATATGCTGTATGTGATTTCTGAGAATAAAATTTCTGTTCTGTTCTGTTAAGTAAAAGGATTAGTAATATGTTTTGAGAAAGGCACAGGAGATAGGAGCATGTTGTTGCTATACTCTGTAGTGACTGTGGGTCAGCTCATTAATTAAATAGGGGTGGACAGCTTGGCTCTGCTAATTAGTGTACTCATTGAGTCTTGTCTTATGGGTAGTCTGAGGTGAGGTGAGGTGAAATTGGGTTTAACGTCGTGCTTGAGAATATTTCGCTCATATGACGACGTGCATGCGTGTGTATGTGTATGTGCGGCTGCTTGTACTAGCCCAGACTGAAGCTGGTTTTATAGTGCTAGCCCACTGAGATACCATGCCGCAGTGAAGCATGAATACCCCACTCAGACACATTATACTGACTCCGAGCCGACCAGTCCTTGTTGCACCCATTAATGCCGAGCGCCAGGCAGGGACCAACAAGTACCATATTTTAACGTCTTTTGGTATGACGCGGTCGGGGATCGAACCCGCGACCTTCCGCTCTCCGGGCGGACGCTCTAACCACTACACCAGGGAGGCGATCTATGGGTGGTCTGTCTTTTGGGAGTGAACCGTAAGGGCGAGTGGGGTAGCCTAGTGGTTAAAGATAGGGCTGAAACGGTATACCGCGGTATTTTGTTTTCGGTTCGGTACACCGAAATTCACTTTGAAAATACGGTACGTTCGGTTTTCGTACCGAAAATATCATCTTACTCACCTTATGCACATTACTTTCGGAATGTCATCACAAATATTCCATGTAATTTAAATCTAGATTCTCTTCAAGTAGCTACCGTTTCTGACATTTAGAACTGTGCCGAAGTGCTATTGTGAACTCATGCTAATTCGATTGGACGAACGAGTTCGTGTGAAGGCACTTTCGTTTGGGTCCCAATTCCAAGAAGATTTCTTCTCGGAACTTTAATTTTTATTGTTAATAAACCGAACCGAATTGTATCGAGCCGAGAGCTGTGTATCGCAATATACCTACCGAACCGTGGCATGGCCGTACCATTGAATCCATAGTTAAAGCGTTCACTCGTCACGCCGAAGACCCGGGTTCGATTCCCCACATAGGTACAATATGTGTAGCCCATTTCGGATGTCCCCCGCCATGATGTTGCTGGAATATTGCTAAAGCGGCGTAAAACTAAACTCACGCATTCTCATGTTTGTAAAATGACGTCACTAAATGACGTCATTACTGCGCATTATCCAGAGTGGTTGTCGTCATGTATATAACATAGAGATTACTAAACGAGTGTCTGTCAGATACCATTTATCTTATTAAAACGAGTTGTTTCTAAAAACGTATTTACGGTCTACTCCCATTTGTGAGAACTCCCAGTTGTGAGACTCCCCCAGTTATGAGACAGTGGAGTAGGTAATTAGGCAAACGAAACACACCATACCCCCTTGTCTGATAGAATGGATTCAACCCTAGCTATTTACTGATGTGCTATGTAACTGAATCTTGTGGAGGTAACTTAATGAAACTTTATAAGATAAATTGATTAACATACTCAGGTAAGTGTCTTTAATGAAATAACTCTGAAATTTACAGTCGAAATGCCCCTTTATGCCAAACCCTTTCTACCCTACACAATACATTTATGGAATGCCGTACCAAATTCCAAAGAGTCATGCAGTCTCAAAGAATTTTAAAACATAATTACAAAACCGAAAACAAGATTTATATTGATATAAATTATGGCTCTTGTTTTTGTCAAATCGTTCATTGCTGCCTCCAGGCTCTGGATCTAGCAACCCAAACGCCGATAAGTATAACATACATTTAATAGACAGTGCGTGTTGCTCTTGTGGATATCAACTACCCGTTATAACCTGGATAATTTTTGGAACGGAAACAAAGAATTTACTCCTTGTGTAAACCAGAAAATAGTTGAATCCGTCCACGATTATATCATCAAGACACAACCTTCAAATTTTCCCAGGGAAATACTGAAATTAAATCAACAACCTTTTCGTGATTGATATATATTCCTATTGTTAGACACACACAACTGTAAGTCTCTAATTATGACTACTTACAGAATAGTTGTATTTGATGTAATCTGTATATATTTATATGTACTTTGTATATTTATGCAATAGTCAATAGCGATGACGTCACATCCTCCATTTCATTTTATATTTTATGTTGCATGGGAGCGGTGTTAACGTAAGCAGTAATGCTTCACCAATCCCAATTCATTTTAATAAATAATAATAAAATATGTTTAAACCAAAATGACTTTCAAACTTCATAATAGTCAATAAAAATGTGTTATCATAATTACATATTCTTCTGAACAAATAAATATTCAATGAACTATTTCTTGTGTGTAAATATAATCTTTGATAATCTATTTCATTAATCAATGAACTATGCCTCCTGTGGGTACTGGGCTGGGCTGATCCCACTTTCATTGTAGGGATGCGGAAACACCACCTATGTGCACTGAACCATTAATTAATGTGTCTCACAACTGGGAGTTCTCACAAATGGGAGGACACCTATTTTACGAGCGAAAGCCTGTTTATGTTGCAATCGCGAAAATAACAGGTAGGTGCAAAGGGGTATTTTTTGCACGAGTAAGAGGTTTCTGTTCGATTCAAGCACGAGTAACTTATCAATGAATTTTAATCAGGAAAGTAGTCCTTCATAACCTGACCCTAGGTCATCAGCATGGAGTAGCCAATCACGGGATTAGAAATCCATCTCATACATACGTGTGATACCAGTTTTCTCACATGGGTTTCTCACCCACGGGTGTGTAAGAAAGTTGCTTTCTAAGTGCCGGGACAAGATTGCTCATTTTTGACACAGAACCCGGCCAGGGATATCTTGGTCAAATGATCTAAAAAACACACTTCTTGAGGGGCGGTGGGATAGCCTAGTGGTTCAAGCGTAAGTTCGTTACGCCGAAGACGCGGGTTCGCTTCCCCACATGGGCACAATGTGAAGCCAATTTCTGGTGTCCCCCGCCCTGATATTAGCTGGAATATTGCTGAGAATCCACAGATGGTGAGTGACTTGTGATTTCAAGCAACATCGACCGTATTTCAGCAATATGAGGAGTGAGTGAGTGAGTAAAACTTTAGTCACTTTGGCAATATTTCAGCCATATCGTGACTAAAACAGTAAATACTTCATAATTATTTTTTTTATATAAAATCTGTCGCCGAAGGACAGTAAAACAACAGATTAAAAACTAGCATGTAGCTTAAAATTATATACTATTTAGGACCTCTTTCAGGACAACATAAAAATGGGCTGTAGATCGCCAACAACTGAAGGTGGATCACCATACTAGGGACCATGGGACTAACAGTAGATTTGCTACCTGCATGGACCCTAAATGGATTTATACCATCCCTTCCGCGGTTGGCGATTGTAAGCAAATTTCGCCATGATTTAAAATTACAAAAATGCTATGTTTAAAAAATCTGGTAAGTTCAAATATGTTTCGGGAGTTATGTACCCCATTCGGAGGACAATAATTTTACACTACTTCAACCCCCTTCGAAGGTATTTCAGCAGCATATAGTGACTAGCACATGTGTTACGTTCATAACACATAAACCTGTTGACGAACTACATTAAAACAACCAGAAAATCACAGGTAGATATGTAAAACATGTACATTTAAAACTACTGACTGACTGACTGAGTTTAGTTTTACGCCGCTTTTAGCAATATTCCAGCAATATCACGGCGGGGGACACCATAAAGGGGCTTAACACATTGTGCCCATGTGGGGAATCGAACCCGGGTCTTCGGCGTGACGAGCCAACGCTTTAACCACTAGACTACCCCACCGCCCCTCATTTAAAACTAATGACAATACAGCATATTACAAGCAGATCGCCAACAACTGAAGGTAGATCGCCATACTAAGGCCTGTATATGGCGGGTTGTTTATGGTTTTTGATTAAATGGTCTAAATAATGGTTATACATCATGGTTACGTGGTGTTAAAATGTTTTTGTATGAACTTGGTTTGGGGCATATTTGGGAATTTCAATTGTAAATGTTAATAATTTTTGTAAAGTTGTTAAAAGTCACATGTAACCAAAAAATTAAAACACAATTATCACTTCTTCATGACATATAATATGCATTGCTGATTATGAAAAAACAAATAAACAAAATTATAAGCGTATAATCGCAAATCAAAAGTGCAATATTTTGTACTTAGGTTTACCTCTCCTCGAAACGAAGCAACCGGGATACCGAACCTAGTCAGAGCGGGTGGGTGTGCACTCAAGTGTAACGGCTGGTTCATTTGCAGATGCCGCCCTCACAGCTCATTGTGTGTGTATATATAGAGATGTTGGGTTTTGTAAATACATGCTCATTTTTTGTGTATAACATTTTGCAATCAACAGACATCATAACATGTCATGTGTTCGAGTATCACACCTGCCTGTCTGTGTAAGACCGAAGTCGGGCCATAAATCAATGCGTTTTTAAGGTAAGGCAACATTAGACTTGCTAAATCATTCAAGATTTTGGGTTGGGTTGTTTCTATAACTATACTGAGTAAAAAAAGAAACTTCACATTCTTTCTTCAGGGCACTATAAAAGAACAAGAGATGGTAAGATTGTTAAATTGTTATTATTTCATTGCTGAGATCTGTGTGATGTACTCGATACACTGACAGTGCCATAATCAGTTCCATTAGGCTACACCGCCGTTCCAAAACATGGGTATACAGAATGTCAAATCACAAGAATACAAATGCTAAATTTCTCAGTTCAATATCGTGTATGGCCGCCCCGCGCATTCACCACTGCCAAACACCGTCTCCTCATCGACTGCCTGATGCTTGTGAACACGTGGTGGGGGATTCTGCGCCATTGCTCTTGCAAGGCAGCGCCAAGTTCCTGCAAATTCTGAGGTTGGTTCCTAAGACCACGAAGCCTTCTCCCAAGTGCATCCCAAACGTGCTCTATTGGATTAAGGTCAGGGGACCTCGATGGCCAGTCCATGACGTTGATTCCAGCGTTTTGAAGGAAATTTCGTGTCAACATCATGGTATGCGGCTGAGCATTATCATGCTGGAACTGTAGACCAGGGCCCACTTGCACAGAGCAATCTTAGTTACAATCAATCTTAGGGCCTTACAATCAACTTTACAATCACCATACAATTGCCCTAATCCACTTGCACAAAGCCGATCTTAGCGCGATTGTAAGACCGCATGGATTTAAGATCGCGATCTTAGCTAAGATCGCACTCTTCAACGGTGGAGGTGCGAATTTCTTAAACTCGACTCCTGTCTACAGTTGTCTGCAAGTGCGCATAGCATACTGCGCAAATAGAGAGTGATACTGGTCCCTGCACACAATACATACCTCCCTCAATCGCACTTTGCAGAATTTTCATGACAAACATTCCAAGAAATCTTCGAAGGAAACGATTACGTGGACGATAGCATATATTTTTCTACATTTTAACTGTCTTGATTTATGAATTGAGAATGTGATATTTCAACCACGGAAATACCTACCCATGTTTTATGAAAATATTGAACTGCGAAAAATACATTCATAAATTTGGGTCTAGATTTAGTGACTTAATAATTATGAAAATTATAATAATATATCAAATATCGACAATATTTACTTATGATATAACACCTAAATGCATGATTTGCCACTGGTTGTCAATGAGACATTGTTTAATGCACAGCTGTTTTTTTTCCCTTTTGTTTTTTTTTGTGTGTGTAAAATCAAAAATATACCCTAGAAGTATTGGTTTTCTCACAATATAACCAGAAAATGTAACAGCGTCAGGATGTAGTTATTGTAGTGACAAGAACCACAAAGCCACTGGGGTGTGAGGCGGATGGACTTTTATTACAAGAATGTAATAAACAAAAGCTTTAGCCAGGTTGGTATGACCTGAGCTCTTGCATTCAATGCATAGGTGATACTGCTGGTGTTTACGTCATCTTATATACATGGAAAAACACAGTCCAGATCACCATGATCTTGATCCTAAAGACTAAACCGCAACATGCTTGCGATGACAACCACATAAGATACTGACCAAGAGACTAGATGAAATTAACCTTTAAATACCTAATACCTTATACGCTTGGCTGAACAGAGAACAATAGAAATTACAGCACTAGCCTGAGCAAGGGACAAGCTTTAGAAGGGATTGCAGGGAGAAAAGCATGCAGTGCAAATGAGTTTTGCTGAAATAGATTACATTTAAGATTAGATTGATGTTTAGAAGGGCTAAAGGTGTGATATAAAATGTTGAATATAAAATTATTGATAAAATGATTAGACTTGGGTTATTTAATGAGATTGTATATCTCATCATAATGACACACAACTTTAAAAGATTCACATGTTTATTATATTTACAACTATATACAATACAAAGTTGAATCTGCCACAATATGGCTACAGAAGTGTTGTAAAGAATTCATGACAGGGAAATACGAATATCAAATAATATATCGAGAGAGCAGTTGTTAAATACTCATTCACAGTATATTAATGATATGACCCTATTGCGTTGATAAATATTTTTCTAAAAGTGAAATTAAAATTGAATCTTGATTTTGCACGTTAACTTGATTACTTTAATGATTAACTAAGACAAAATCACTCCATCACCGAAAAGAAAATATCTTGAGCTCTGCGATTGGGCATGACAGACTCTACGGCAACGGCATAAGCCAGGGGAAACCACTCCCATCTTGCCCATAAACTAAAATTATCTGCTCTTGAGTTAATGAAAAGGTCACGGCGATTGTTAATCGCACGCTGACACCATTTGCTAGTATCCTTCCTTGATTATCAAAAGGTATGTTGTTTCAAACTTATTCCAACATTGAATCGGTTGGGAATAGTACTTTGTGATATCGACTCGATAGTTCTGTGGTTCACTACAGCAAATAACAATGTATCCGACGTTAAATCGGTTGTGCATTCTCCGTGTTGTTGAAGTATCGAGGCGAATCATACAGTACAGTTTTATGCAATATAAAAGCACGCTTGTCTCCAAACGTAAAGCTGATTATTTGCGTGAAACTTGAACACCATTTTGTCACAGACTACAATGATCTTAGCTCCTTACAATTGGTCCGGACCAATTGTAAGTTTCGATTGTAACTTACAACGATCTTAGCCTACAATCGCATTTGTGCAAGTCGATGGCGACAGTCAAGCCCAAGATCGCGATCTTAAGGATTTACAATAATTGTAGCGTTAAGATCGTTCTGTGCAAGTGGGCCCTGGGCCATGAGCCACCATGAAAGGAACGAGTTCAGGGGTGAGCACCTGGTCGCGGTAAGCAGCAGCTGTGAGGTTTCCACGGATGACCAGAAGTCGGGAACGGTTGTTCCCACAGAAAGCACCCCACACCATGTAACTTCCCGCCTCGACCCTGTCGAATTTCACAACCCTGGGCATTGGGCATACCGATCAACGACGCCGCCTCCAGACTTATGCCTGCCATCCCGCTTAATCTGAGGGTAAACCTGGATTCATCGCTAAAGATCTACTTCGATTCAGTCTCTGGGTCCATCGGAGGTGACGCTAGGCCCACAGCAGACGCTGATGTTGATGAAACGGAAGGCCAATATTGGCCCACGATATGGACGCCCGAATGGAGATTGGCAGCCTGGTAACCGCATTTCAAAGCGTCTCGTCGAGGACAGTCAACCTCTAAACATCTCTTGCCCTGGTTCGTAGGTAGAAGGGTAGAAATCTGTCATACAGGACGAGGATCTATTTGACGGTCTTCGTTCGCGGACGCCACATTAACGGATCAATCTCGACCTTTTGGCTAATCAGAAGTGGTGCCATACGAACGCATATGAAGAAAACCGCGCGCGAAGATCACGCGTGATCGACCTGAACGCAAAACCCGATTTGGCACTACTCAACATCATTTGTAACCACAAAATGGATGGGTTTGAGGCTTTGCTAACGTTTTTCTAGAGTCTAAAGATAGGGATCCCATTTCGATACATAGATGCATCATCAGAAAAAAAATTATTCATTATTTTTCAAATTACATTTTGTGAAGTTTCTTTTTGACTCAGTATATAACTATTATAGTAGCGGTGAGTAGAGAGGCACGTAACGGACGCTTGACGGTGTAGCAACATTGGCAATACTTACCGGCAAACAAGGATAAGTTGGACCGGCGCAGAGAACGCGTTTACGAGAAGTAGTAGAATGAGCAAACCCAGTTGGTTTGTGAAAAGTAGAGAAGATGTAGGCTAGTGCACCTGCAGTGCATGACGCTGAAATTGATTCCGAGCATAGCTGCACACGCCTTGCTCATAAGACTCTCACGTGGTCGGTGTAGCACTACACTTCATCGGGGACAACCCGAGGCCCCTTCGCTCACAATGGCAAGCGCCAGTGGGCAGCACTCATACATGCTAATACGGGTCAATTGTCAGGTTGGTGCTCAACTTATCCTTGTTTGCCAGTAAGTACCATCACTAAGAAATGTACTGGGCACAGTATCTATGATGAACATTTCTTGTTGAGGTGAGGTGAAACTGGGTTTAACGTGGTGCTTGAGAATATTTCGCTCATATGACCACGTGCATGCGTGTGTATGTGTAGCGGCTTGTACTAGCCCAGACTTAAGCTGGTTGTATAGTGCTAGCCCACTGAGATACCATGCCGCAGAGAAGCATGAATACCCCACTCAGACACATTATACTGACTCCGAGCCAACCAGTCCTTGTTATACCCAGTAATGCTGAGCGCCAGGCAGGGACCAACAAGTACCATATTTTAACATCTTTTGGTATGATGCGGTCGGGGATCGAACCCACGACCTTCCGCTCTCTGGGCAGACACTCTAACCACTACACCACGGAGGCGGTCACATTTCTTGTCATTTGTTTGTTGTTTACGGTCACGCTCAGCAATATTCCAGCTATATGGCGCCGGTGTGTAAAAACTCCACCCAGTCACTAAGATCATGAGCATCGATCTACGCAGCTGGGATACGATGACACGTGTAAAGGAAGACAGGGAGCCTCGACAAGCATGGGTTGCTGAAAACCAATTCTAACCCATATCAGTCTTGTTCATTATCAAAAATGACAATAAACATGATATCAGCGAAGTTTGAACAGAAAAAGTCACAATAGTACAAAAAATATATTTATTATTTTTTCTCTAAAAACATCTGACTCACATGTACAAAGAAAAAGGTATGGAATGGTTTGTCATACTTGAAAAACAGCTGTATGTAATAAAAATTCAGATTCAAATTTCAATGGTCTTGTGAGAGGTTTGAAAATAATGGATATATTTAATGTTTCAGCTGTTATTAGATTTTTTAGTCCATGTGCACTACAAGTGTAGATAAAATAACATGTGAAACAAGGATAAGTTCTCTTGATTAAAAAAAGCAAAAACACAAACAAACAAACAAACAAACAATCATTTTCAATTATAGGGGAGACAACTTGTACCAACATTACAACAATCACAAGGTCACCTATTTCTGTCAAGTCTTGGTAAACGATATGCACAACAGTGTAAGCATAATTAATGTAATGCCAACTCATGTAGTTTCGGGAGAAGCCGAACAGTGGTCTTCTTGCAGATGATGTGAAGAGGTGTGCAATGACATCATGATGACATCACAATGATTTTACAGATCAGACATCCACATTGTATAAGAAGAGATTTACACTGAGATAGAAATGTAATGTTACACAATCAGTAAAGGTGCCTATAAAATCAGGCTATGTAAAGACTCGAGCGGTGACGTCATGATGACATCATGTTTTTACAGATCGAACAGCCGAGTTGTGTTAGAAGAGACGGGCACTACCAAGGTGTCTCGATCAGTAAATTTGTAAAAAGCTTGAAGCAAATTAAAATTTGGATTATGAAAACTGCTATGTTGCTATGGTGACAGCGTCTCATTTACAGGCCTAAGATCCTGTAGTTGAGGACTGGGTGGAATGCTGCGTCACCGGTTATGTTCTGAAATATAGAACAACTTGCATAGAACTGTGATAGAAACTTGTATGATTTCAGTGTGAATGAGTGAGTGAGTTTAGTTTTACGCAGCACTCAGCAATATTCCAGCTTAATGGCTGCGGTCTGTAAATAATCGAGTCTGGACCAGACAATCCAGTGATCAACAGCAGGAGCATCGATTCAAGAATTGGGAATCGAGCACCATGTGTCAACCAAGTCAGCGAGCCTGACCACCTCCGATCCCGTTAGTCAGTCCTCTTTGGCGCACAAGCTTACTGGTAACTGAAGATCAATTATTTTTATTTCAGGGTGAAAATTACAGTACAACTTTTCTGAAGTATTGAAGTTTCGAAAACCATAATTTTATTTTCGGTTCTATCCTCCGAAACAATTGTTAGGTTCAAACTTACACAGAAAATAGCCTTTTGAAGCAATGGTAGATGCTTGTATAAACACATTTTATTCATTGTCTCAGGCATAAAGTGATAAAAAGTGAAATCTGGGAATGTTGTCAAGGTTACCTGTTTACAGAAGGCTGGAGGGGTGAAGACAGAGGGGTCTTTGATCCCAGGGGTGATGTCGAAGTACCCCATCGACATGACCAGCTTGACTGTAACCATGGAGAAAAGAAACGAGTGTTATACCTGCTCTAGTTAACTTAAACTATATAATAGTTCGAGCATATGGTCGAGTGTATAGTTACACTGAACAATAAAATCATGTTTCTTGTTCGATAAAGTAGTCGGGAGTAACGTTTTGTGCTGCATTTAGCAATATTCCAGCATATCATGGCGGGGGACACCTGGCCTCGATTTCTCGAAACAAACTTAAGTCTGAGTTTTGACTTAAGTTAGAGTTTTTACTCAAATTTGAGAAAATCCATTTCCCAGAATGAACTGAAATCGACATTAAACTCAAATATAGTAGACAATTTGTGTTTTGTGGATAGATTACTTAAGTTATTTGGGCTTTTTCATTTTAAAGATGCAGTTGAGTTAAAAATACAGCTGTTTCAAATTGTCAAACTCAGTTTGAAATTTGTGTAAAAACTTAAGTTTGTTTCGAGAAATCGGGACCAGAAATGTAAAAATAATCCAAGTAACAAGAACTATTCAAAATTTCGAAAAAATATAAAATAATTGCAACCACAAGAAATTTTGGTTATAAAAATAAACAGTTTGCTACCAAAGTAGCCCCATTAAAGATCACATGCAACCAAAAAACAACAAACATAATTATAACACAATTATTACTTATTCATGACATGTAATATACACTGCTGATTGTGAAGAAACAAATAAACAAAATTATAACATTTGGTATTATAAATTTTCAAGTTGAGCAATTCTTAACAAAACTGCGTGGCTGGAAACTGTCGTTTGTATTTCTAATGCTAAATTTTCAGTTTGAGAATAATTCTGTTGGTTTGCAAATCTGCCAACCCCCAAAAGCAAGATGTGACAAACATATAAGCCATAAAAAGTATAGGACCAGTGTATGGTTGAAGTTTTATTACTGCAGACCAAAGATGCTTGTAATCACAAGAAACATCTGTTGTTCTCCAACTTCAATTTTTAGGTAGAAATTAGCGATGATCCTTGCATCTGCCAACCCCAAAACATCACTTGCTGTGTTTTACTGCAAACCAAAGATGCTTGTAATCGCCAAGAAACATCGTCCTTGCCTCACTTGCTGTGTTTTACGAGTCGCCCTCCAGTTCAAAGTGTTGAAAACCCTTTTCACACCACCGCTGGGCTTTCGATTTCGTGGGGTTTTGTTCATTGCGTTATTTTTCAACTTTATAAGTTGAATTTGCATTTTTGATAATTTGTTTCTGTAAGTCCATACCAAAAGGTTGTGTTTTGCATTGCATGTGACCTTTAAGCTTTTGAAGTGACAAGTGAAAGTGAGTGATTGAGTTTTGTTTTATGCCACACTCAGCAATTTTCCAGCTATATAGCGGCAGTCTGTAAATAATCGAGGCTGGACCAGACAATCCAGTGATCAACTGCATGAGCGTCGATCTGCACAACTGGGAACAGATGACATGTGTCAATTAAGTCAGCGATCCTGACCACCCGACCCTGATAGTCGCCTCTTACGACAAGCATAGTCGCCTTTTGTGGCAAGCATGGGTTGCTGAAGACCTATTCTACCCCGGATCTTCACGGGTCGACAAGTGAAAACGGACAGGACATTGTAATATTGGTGTCACCTGGGAACTGGTTTAAATCTCATCACTGATGATGCGAATACATTACTACCAATCAATCATCGAAAATAATTGGTTAGTGCCACGTATCAAATTTTCCTGGTTTTGTTTGTTAATGCACAAAATATTTTTAAAAAAACCCCATGTAGTTCTTTCGTCTTTTTAACAAATTGCACAAGATGCATGAGCAAATTTCACATCTTTAAAGGATGACTAGTATGTTAGGAACATAAATTTCCTGGAGTCTTTAAGATAAATTCAGTCATGACTTGGAATGACCTTGTAGTGCTTATGAAAAGTAACAGACAAAACCAACCTTGTGAAAAATATTGTTAATGCAAACAAGTGTCCCAAAATTGTTCGTGTTTGATTATGAGAAAACATGATCGATTGCTTGGTCATTTAGTCATTGCGACCAATCTTCGATTATTTCAATGAACCGGACCACCACTAACCAACACAACTTTAAAACATAAGAACCTTTCAGGGCAATGGGGTAGCTTATGCTTAAACAACTAAAGTGTTCGATTGTTCGATTTCCACTGTTTCTGGTCTGACGCTCTGACACACAAACACACACACACACACACACACACACACACACACACGGAGATACACCCAGAGGCAGACAGTGAGTGAGTGAGTCTGGTTTTATGTTGATTTTAGCAATATTCCCCTACCAAAATCACGTCGCGGGACACCAGAAATGGGCTTCACACATTGTAACCAATAAAGGAATCGAACCTGGGTCTTCGGCATGATGAGCAATCACTTAAACCATTAGGCTACCCCACCACCGCGATAGACAGACAGACTGACACAGACACACACACCTGCACCCACTGCCAGTCATAGTTACAGGTACAGACACTTGGTCAGAAACACACACATACACACACAGCTTCAGCAGCTCACCGTTGTTAACCGATCCGACCCAGTTCTCCCCGACAGGGACACACTGTTTCTCTGTGACACTAAAGTTGATGTCCAACAGGGTCGACGCCTGCTGCAGTCGCATTGAGTAGATCTTCGCCTGCAGTGTCTCACTCCAGCTCCAATTGTCATATCAAACACCTGCTTGGCGTCATCTGAAACATATACAACAACACAATATTGCAGATTTCTCGGATCGAAGCAGTAAACAATGCATACTACACAGGATACATACAATAGCAATATCGATATCATTGTGTAACTGAACTTTAAGACATGCCTGAGTGGTTTGTTGCCTCCTTGATGGTGGTGCGTAAGCAACCGAGTCTGGACCCTATCTGGTTGAGGAGGATGAAGGAATGAAGAGGATGAAGGATTGAAGAGGACAAGGGTATGAGGATATGAAGGATTGAAGAGGACAAGGATAAGATGGATGAAGAGGACAAATGAATTGGAGAGTGAAGGACTGAAGACAGTGAAGACTCAGAAGAGGTAATGAAGATGAAGATATGAAGGGATGAAGACATGGATATGAAGGGATGAAGACAAGGATATGAAGAGATGAGGGGATGAAGAGGACAAAGGGATGAAGGATTGAAGAGGACAAGGGTATGAAGGATTGAAGAGGACAAGGGTATGAAGAGATGAGGGGATGAAGAGGACAAAGTGATGAAGGATTGAAGAGGACAAAGGGATGAAGGATTGAAGAGGACAAGGGTATGAAGTGATGAAGAGGACAAAGGGATGAAGGATTGAAGAGGACAAGGGTATGAAGTGATGAAGAGATGAAGGATTGAAGAGGACAAGGGTATGAAGTGATGAAGAGATGAAGGATTGAAGAGGACAAGGGTATGAAGTGATGAAGAGGACAAAGGGATGAAGGATTGAAGAGGACAAGGGTATGAAGTGATGAAGAGATGAAGGATTGAAGAGGACAAGGGTATGAAGAGATGAAGGATTGAAGAGGACAAGGGTATGAAGAGATGAAGGATTGAAGAGGACAAGGATATGAAGGATGAAGAAGAGATGAAGGATTGAAGAGGATCATGGGCATGAAGTGATGAAGAGGACAAAGGATGAAGGATTGAAGAGGACAAGGGCATGAAGGATGAAGAGATGGAAGGATTGAAGAGGGACAAGGGTATGAAGGATGAAGAGATGAAGGATTGAAGAGGATCAAGAGGCATGAAGAGATGAAGGATTGAAGAGGACAAAGGGTATGAAGAGACGAAGGATTGAAGAGGACAAGGCTATGAAGAGATGAAGAGATGAAGGATTGAAGAGGATCAAGGGCATGAAGAGATGAAGAGGACAAAGGATGAAGGATTGAAGAGGACAAGCTGATTATGAAGAGATGAAGGACTGAAGAGGATCAAGGATATGAAGATGAAGGATTAGAAGATGATGGGACTGACGAAGGATAGAAGAGGATCAAGGATTACGAAGATTTGAAGGACTGAAGATGACAAGGACATGAAGAGACGAAGGATCGAAGATGATCAAGGATTATGAAGAGACGGAATGAAGAAGATATCGAAGGAAGAGATGGAAGATTTACAAGGATACGAAATGAGAGACGAAGGATTGAAGATGGATTAAGGATTCAGGAATAGACGAAGGATTGAAGATGACTGGGACGAATGACTGAAGATGATCGGCTGATTACGAAGATATGAATGATAGAAGATGAGCTGACGAAGACTGAAGAGGACATGATTACGAAGAGATGAAGGACTGAAGAGGACAAGGATATAGGAAGAGACGAAGGATCGAAGAGGATCAAAGGACGAATTGACTGAAGAGATCACGATGACGAAGGAATGGACTGAAGATGATCAATGGATGAAGGACTGAAGAGATCAAGTACGAAGAGATGATCGAAGATATCGTGCCGGAAGAAGGACAAGGATATCGGCTGACGAAGAGACGAAGGACTGAAGAGGGACAAAGGGGATAGAAGGATTAGAAGAGGATCAGTACGGACGGATGAAGAAGATAAGGGACTGAGGAGTATGGCTGACTGAAGATGACAAGTACGAAGAGATTTAGCTGATCGAAGATGACAAGAATTATAAGACGAATGACTGAAGATGAGAAAGAGGAAGAGAATTAATGACTGGAGATGACAAGGCAAGAAGAGGGACGAAGGATCGAAGATGATGACATGAAGAGAAATGACTGAAGAGGATCATGAGATGAAGAGAATGGACGAAGGACAAAGACGATACGAAAAGCCGACGAAGGACTGAAGAGGACAAGGACGATGAATGAAGAGATCGGGACATTACGAAGGATTGAAGACTGACAAAGGCATATGAAGAGACGAAGTTAGACTGAAGACATCATGGGCATAGAAGAGGACGAAGGACTGAAGACATCAGGGCATGAAGACTGGAAGAGGACAAAGGTATGAAGTGATGAAGGATCAGAAGAGGACAAGGGTGAATGAAGAGAGATGAAGGATTGAAGAGGACAAGGGCATGAAGAGATAAAGGATTGAAGAGGACAAGGGTATGAAGAGATGAAGGACTGAAGAGGACAAAGGATGAAGGATTGAAGAGGACAAGGGTCGATGAAGAGATGAAGGATTGAAGAGGACAAGGGTATGGAAGAGATGAAGAGGATTAGAAGACATGGACAAAGGGATGAAGGACTGAAGAGGAGGAAGGACATGAAGGATTGAAGAAGGACAAAGGATGAAGGAGGATGAAGAGGACAAAGGATGAAGGATTGAAGAGGACAAGGATAAGGAAGGACTGAAGAGACAAAGGCATGAAGAGATGAAGGATTAAGAAGAGGACAAAGGGATGAAGAGATGAAGGATTGAAGAGGACAAGGGTATGAAGAGATGAAGGATTGAAGAGGACAAAGGATATGAAGAGATGAAGGATTGAAGAGGACAGGGGTAAGGAAGACATGAAGGATTGAAGAGGACAAGGGTATGAAGAGATGAAGGATTGAAGAGGACAAGGGTAAGGAAGAGATGAAGGATTGAAGAGGACAAGGGATGAAGAGATGAAGGATTGAAGAGGACAAGGGAAGTTGGATTAGAGATGAAGATGGGACAAAGGGATGAAGGGATTAAGAGGACAAAAGGATATGAAGGATTGAAGAGGACATGGTATGGAAGAGATGAATGGATTGAAGAGGACATGGAAGGATGAAGAGATGGAAGGATTGAGAAGGACAAAGAGATGAAGGATTGAAGAAGGACAAAAGGTAGGAAGAGATGAAGGGATTAGAAGAGGACAAAGGGATGAAGGGATTGAAGAGGACAAAGGATAAGGAAGAGATTAAAGGATTGAAAGGACAAGAATTATGAAGAGATGAACGGATTGAAGAGGAGGACAAGGATATGAAGATATGAAGAAGGATTGAAGACAAGGACAAAGGGATAAGGGAAGGATTGAAGAAGGACAAGGATAAGAAGAGAGGATGAAAGGATGAAGGAAGAGGACAAGGACATGGAAGGAGAGATGAAGGATTGAAGAGGACAAAGGGATGAAGGATTGAAGAGGACAAGGATATGAAGAGATGAAGGATTGAAGAGGACAAAGGGATGAAGGATTGAAGAGGACAAAGGGATGAAGGATTGAAGAGGACAAGGGTATGAAGAGATGAAGGATTGAAGAGGACAAGGGTATGAAGAGATGAAGGATTGAAGAGGACAAGGGTATGGAGAAGAGATGAAGGATTGAAGAGGACAAGGGTATGAAGAGATGAAGGATTGAAGAGGACAAGGATATGAAGTGATGAAGGATTGAAGAGGACAAAGGGATGAAGGATTGAAGAGGACAAGGATATGAAGGATTGAAGAGGACAAAGGGATGAAGAGATGAAGGATTGAAGAGGACAAGGGTATGAAGAGATGAAGGATTGAAGAGGACAGGGGTATGAAGGATTGAAGAGGACAAGGGTATGAAGTGATGAAGGATTGAAGAGGACAAGGGTATGAAGAGATGAAGGATTGAAGAGGACAAGGGTATGAAGAGAGATGAAGGATTGAAGAGGACAAGGGTATGGAGATGAAGGATTGAAGAGGACAAGGGATGAAGGATTGAAGAGGACAAGGGTATGAAGAGATGAAGGATAGAAGAGGACAAGGGTATGAAGAGATGAAGAGATGAAGAGGACAAAGGGATGAAGGATTGAAGAGGACAAGGATATGAAGGATTGAAGAGGACAAAGGGATGAAGGATTGAAGAGGACAAAGGGATGAAGGATTGAAGAGGACAAGGATATGAAGGATTGAAGAGGACAAAGGTATGAAGAGATGAAGGATTGAAGAGGACAAAGGGATGAAGAGATGAAGGATTGAAGAGGACAAGGGTATGAAGAGATGAAGGATTGAAGAGGACAAAGGGATGAAGAGATGAAGGATTGAAGAGGACAGGGGTATGAAGAGATGAAGGATTGAAGAGGACAAGGGTATGAAGAGATGAAGGATTGAAGAGGACAAGGGTATGAAGAGATGAAGGATTGAAGAGGACAAGGGTATGAAGAGATGAAGGATTGAAGAGGACAAGGGTATGAAGAGATGAAGAGGACAAAGGGATGAAGGATTGAAGAGGACAAGGATATGAAGGATTGAAGAGGACATGGGTATGAAGAGATGAAGGATTGAAGAGGACAAAGGGATGAAGAGATGAAGGATTGAAGAGGACAAAGAGATGAAGGATTGAAGAGGACAAAGGTATGAAGAGATGAAGGATTGAAGAGGACAGGGGAATGAAGGATTGAAGAGGACAAGGGTATGGAAGAAGAGATGAAGGACAGAGAAGAGGACAAAGGGATGAAGAGATGAAGGATTGAAGAGGACAGGGGTATGAAGAGATGAAGGATTGAAGAGGACAAGGGTATGAAGAGATGAAGAGATGAAGAGGACAAAGGGATGAAGGATTGAAGAGGACAAAGGGATGAAGAGATGAAGGATTGAAGAGGACAGGGTATGAAGAGATGAAGGACTGAAGAGGACAAAGGGATGAAGAGATGAAGGATTGAAGAGGACAGGGGTATGAAGAGATGAAGGATTGAAGAGGACAAAGGGATGAAGAGATGAAGGATTGAAGAGGACAGGGGTATGAAGAGATGAAGGATTGAAGAGGACAAAGGGATGAAGAGATGAAGGATTGAAGAGGACAGGGGTATGAAGAGATGAAGGATTGAAGAGGACAAGGGTATGAAGAGATGAAGGATTGAAGAGGACAAGGGTATGAAGAGATGAAGGATTGAAGAGGACAAGGGTATGAAGAGATGAAGGATTGAAGAGGACAAAGGGATGAAGGATTTAGAAGAGGACAAGGATATGAAGGATTGAAGAGGACAAGGATATGAAGTGATGAAGAGGGTGAAGGATTGAAAAGGACAAGGATATGAAGGGGTAACAAGGATGAAGGGTTGAAGATGGTAAAGGAATGATGAGTTTGGAAGGATAAAGTGATGAAGAAATGAAGGGCAATAGAGTGGGGACGAAGTAAGGATGACGATGAAGGAATCAAGAGTATGAATGGATGAAGAAATGAAGGAAGGTTGGGTGGTTTCTTGTTTAATGCTGCACTCTACAACATTACAGCTAACCAACAAGAAGGATTTAGAGGACTGAAAGAAGAAAGAAAAAAATGAAGGAATGAAGATGAAGAAATTAAAGGATGGAGAAATGAAGATGGTGAATGAATGAACGGAATAAAGGAAAGAAGCTATAAGTAGATGAAGAAATGAAGAGGATGAAGGATTGAAGTAACAAACGGGAGACTCACCAGGCACACATCCATTGTTGAAAGGCAAATTAGTCTTTGTCTTCTGGCATGTCCTCTTCAACACATCAATAACATACATGGTATTCTGTAACAGAGTGAGTGAGTCAGGTTTACTGCCAATGTTTACAAGTGTGGGCATCGAATAGTTGTGTACAAACCCATGAAAATATTTAATCAGTCACTTCCTCACTTCCTAAGGATGTCCAAAACCTTTTGTTTGAACTGAGGAACTGCTAAACTGCTGAACAAGACATATTTAAGAAACACCATATTTTAATAAAATTTTCAACGTTTAAGTGAATGACATTAAAAATATTTTTAAATTATGTACAAAGAAAAGACCCAGCTCATTATAACACTGTCAGTCACAAGGCGATCAAAAAACAGTTTTTAATTCCAATAATTTTCCACTTTACAATGTCCCAAATTTGTGTGCAATGTCATTCTAACTGAACAATATTCTATGGTGGGTTTCTGACCGTCTTGTAGTCTTGAATCAGCTTGGTGGAGGACATTCCTGCCGCCGTGGTACTGTTGGAGTAGGCATACACCCTACGGCCGACTGCGTCGAAGGTTATCTTGGCTATAGTCTACAACAGAAGACAGATGAATTTCACACCTATTAGTGTTCGGAATTGGTTAAATCTCATAATTGCTGATTGGTTCATTACAACTGATCAATCATCGAAAAAAATTGTTTAGCGTCATTAATGAAATTTTTGTTGGATTTTTTTGGAAAATTTTCACATCTTTAAAGGATGACTAGTATGTTAGGATTGGAGTCTTAAGATCAATTCAATCATGACTTGAAACGAGCTTGTAGTGCTTATGAAATGTAACGGACAAAACCAACCTTGTGAAAATAATTGTTAAAGAAAACAAGTGTTCCAGAATTGTTTGTGTTCGATAATGAGGAAACATGATCGATTGCTTGGTTGTTTAGTCACTGCGACCAATCTTCGATATCATTTCAATTAATCGGACCACCACTAACACCTATGACATACAGTAACAGCATTTCACATCTATGACATACAGTACCACCATGTCACACCTATGACATACAGTAACAGCACTTCACACCTATGACATACAACAACAACATTTCACACCTATGACATACAACAACAGCATTTCACACCTATGACATAAGGTAAGAGCATTTCACACCTATGACATACAGTGACATCATTTCACACCTATGTAATATGGTAACAGTACTTCACACCTATGTAATACGGTAACAGTTCTTCACACTTATGTAATACGGTAACTGTGCTTCACACCTATGAAACATGGTAACAGAACTTCACACCTTTGCATTACGGGAACAGTTCTTCACGCGTATGTAATATGGTAACTGTGCTTCACACCTATAAAATACGGTAACAGAACTTCACACCTATGCATTACGGGAACAGTTCTTCAAGAGTATGTAATACGGTAAGAATGCTTCCAAACCTATGTAATACGGTAACAGTATTTCACACTTATGTAATACGGTAGCAGTACTTCACACTTACGAAATATGGTAACAGTACTTCACACCTATGTAATACGGTAACAGTCTTTCACACCTATGTAATACGGTAACAGGACTTCACACTTACGTAATTTGGTAAAAGTACTTCACACCTATGCAGGGGTGGAAATAACCCATTGCCCGACGTCCGAGTCCAGTGTTTTTTTCTGTCGGGCAAGCAGATTTGTATATCACACTGTACCGGTGTCAAGTTGACTTTCCAATGTTAATTATGTTGTTTATTTAAAAAATCAGCAAGAAAACAGCCGGTATAGTGGGAAAATTAAAGTGACTTTACATGTGCCACTGTACCGGAGTACACTATCAATTTTTAAGTTATTTCCACCCCTGCTGTGTAATACGGTAACAGTACTTCACACCTATGTAATACGGTAACAGTACTTCACACCCATGTAATACGGTAACAGTACTTCACACCTATGTAATATGGTAACAGTACTTCACACCTACGTAATACGGTAACAGTACTTCACACCTATGTAATACAGTAACAGTACTTCACACTTATGTAATACAGGAACAGTACTTCACACCTATGTAATACGGTAACAGTACTTCACACCTATGTAATACAGTAACAGTACTCCACACTTATGTAATACAGTAACAGTACTTCACACCTATGTAATACGGTAGCAGTACTTCACACTTACGTAATACAGTAACAGTATTCCACACTTATGTAATACGTTAACTGTGTTTAACACCTATGAAATATGGTAACAGTACTTCACAAATATTTAATACAGTAACAGTACTTCACCCCTATGTAATACAGTAACAGTACTTCACACCTATGTAATACAGTAACAGTACTTCACACCTATGTAATACAGTAACAGTACTCCACACTTATGTAATACGCTAACTGTGCTTAACACCTATGAAATATGGTAACAGTACTTCACAAATATGTAATACAGTAACAGTACTTCACACCTATGTAATACGTTAACAGTACTTCACACCTATGTAATACAGTAACAGTACTTCACACCTACGTAATATGGTACCATTACTTCACACCTACGTAATACGGTAACAGTACTTCACACCCATGTAATACAGTGACAGTACTTCACACCTATGTAATACAGTAACAGTACTTCACACCTATGTAATACGGTAGCAGTACTTCACACTTACGTAATACAGTAACAGTACTCCACACTTATGTAATACGTTAACTCTGCTTCACACCTATGAAATATGGTAACAGTACTTCACAAATATGTAATACAGTAACAGTACTTCACATCTATGAAATACAGTAACAGTACTTCACACCTATGTAATACAGTAACAGTACTTCACACCTATGTAATACGGTAGCAGTACTTCACACTTATGTAATACGTTAACTGTGCTTCACACCTATGAAATATGGTAACAGTACTTCACACCTTTGTAATATGGTAGCAGTACTTCACACTTATGTAATACGTTAACTGTGCTTCACACCTATGAAATATGGTAACAGTACTTCACACCTATGTAATACGGTAACAGTATTTCACGCCTATGTAATACGGTTACAGTACTTCACATATGAAACATGGTAACAGAACTTCACACCTTTGCATTACGGGAACAGTTCTTCAAGAGTATGTAATACGGTAACAAGGCTTCGAAACCTATGTAATACGGTAACAGGACTTCACACTTACGTAATTTGGTAAAAGTACTTCACACCTATGCAGGGGTGGAAATAACCCATTGCCCGACGTCCGAGTCCAGTGTTTTTTTCTGTCGGGCAAGCAGATTTGTATATCACACTGTACCGGTGTCAAGTTGACTTTCCAATGTTAATTATGTTGTTTATTTAAAAAATCAGCAAGAAAACAGCCGGTATAGTGGGAAAATTAAAGTGACTTTACATGTGCCACTGTACCGGAGTACACTATCAATTTTTAAGTTATTTCCACCCCTGCTGTGTAATACGGTAACAGTACTTCACACCTATGTAATACGGTAACAGTACTTCACACCTATGTAATACGGTAACAGTACTTCACACCTATGTAATATAGTAACAGTACTTCACACCTACGTAATACGGTAACAGTACTTCACACCTATGTAATACAGTAACAGTACTTCACACTTATGTAATACAGGAACAGTACTTCACACCTATGTAATACGGTAACAGTACTTCACACCTATGTAATACAGTAACAGTACTCCACACTTATGTAATACAGTAACAGTACTTCACACCTATGTAATACGGTAGCAGTACTTCACACTTACGAAATACAGTAACAGTACTCCACACTTTTGTAATACGTTAACTGTGCTTAACACCTATGAAATATGGTAACAGTACTTCACAAATATGTAATACAGTAACAGTACTTCACACCTATGTAATACGGTAACAGTACTTCACACCTCTGTAATATGGTAACAATGCATCACACCTAGCTATGTAATATGGTAGTCGTGTTCCACACCTATGTAACACTGTAACCATGTCTTACACCTATGTAATAACATAACAGGGCATGACACCTATGTGATAACATAACAGGGCATGACACCTATGTAATAACATAACAGGGCATGACACCTATGAAGCCCGGTCACAAACAATCTATTTCAGTGTGGAGGCAGTATTTCACCAGAATGTTTCACCTCCACAACCCATATCAAGCAAATTGCCATTACTAAATCTTATCATGCGGAAATGAAACCAGATTGTGTAAATACATGTCACCTGATTCACCAGGACGTAAATCAACAGTAGAAATTTCGCAAGTAAGATCAACAACGCAAGTCATGTCGCCTTGACCTAGATTACCACTCCATGCCATATACTGATTGTAAAGTTATATCACAATAAGTACAGTGTATGGTATAAGTGCTCGGTGGCAGACTGGGGGGTTGGTTTGTGTTATACATTATCTGAAACAGGATTTCATTTTCTACTCAAAGAAGAGAAGTGAGGGGTGGTGGTGAGCCAGGGGAAGAGAGGGGGGAAGGCTGTGGGGTCTGTGTTGTAAGGAGATTGGATATTTTGTAACCAGTTGCAAAACAAGCCATGTTTTTTGTAACATAAGTTATATTTGGGATTACACTTTCTTAGTAATATAACTTATGTTACATTTGACCACTTTCTAAAATGGCGCTGTGTATTTCAAAGCCATGTTTTTGATTGTTTTTTTTAAAATCAATAATATGAGACTAAATATTACCGCCCAGCAACGTATTTTTGTGACAAACATATTTTTTAACATCAGAATGAAGTAAGATAAACATTTTCAAAATATTTCTGAAACATCAAGTGTTGTTTGATATTGTCCCACCACAATGGTTACAAGCGAGTCCGGTAATTCCCCCGTGCGTCCGGTAATTCTGCACAGCTGCAATATTATTATCCGTATCGAAGGTAAACATCGTCTGCTACGACATTTAAGCTTGAAATCGGGACATTTCTACAAGGGACTGGGTTTTAATCACTAAAGGTAAGTAAATAACAGTAACTCGCAGATAAATTGACAGTTTTATGAAAATTTGTTTTCTTCAGATTTTTATACCTAGCTTTTTCTTCATTATTCATAATTGGATTTAATATGAAACACTCTTCCTTACATTGTTGAAGTGATTTTTGAAAATAATCTGGCTCTAATACGCTTCCATACTTCGGATGTCCTGCTGGATGTTTTGCGCATCAGTTGCTGCACAGAATTACCAGACAGCAAGCGATGTCGTCAGAACGCCGATAAGGTCAACCGTATGGCATAATGCAACTTTAGAATCTTATAGTCGTCAATAAAACTTATATTTCTAGGGAAATATGATACATACAAGCATGTTTAGTCAAGTAAACCACAAAAAATAAGAGACGTTAGGTGTTGCGATCGATGTGTTTAGGTGCGCGGAATTACTGGGCGGCATTATATGTCAAAGGGTCGGTCTTGTGTTTTTGTTGTTGTTTTTAAAAGGCGCAAGGATATGATGACATGTTTCAACCAAATCTGGTCCAGAAAATCCCACAGTTCAGATCGAGAGCGTCGATCATGGCAATTGGGATACAATAGGCGAGGTGAGGTGAAATTGGGTTTAACGTCGTGCTAGAGAATATTTCGCTCATATGATGACATGCGTGGTATGTGTATGTGCGGCTGCTTGTACTAGCCTAGACTGAAGCTGGTTTTATAGTGCTAGCCCACTGAGATACCATGCCGCAGTGAAGCATGAATACCCCACTCAGACACATTATACTGACTCCGAGCCGACCAGTCCTTGTTGTACCCATTAATGCCGAGCGCCAGACAGGAACCAACAAACGTCTTTTGGTATGACGTAGTCGTGGTGGATCGAACCCGCTACCTTCCGCTCTCCGGGCGGACGCTCTAACCACTACACCACGGAGGCAGTCTGGGATACAATAACAAGCACCCTAGAGATCTTCGAGCGTGACCACCTGATCCCATATTTCGCATTGTGCAGCAAGCTTTACTGCTGAACATCAAATCTTACCCGGATATTTACGGGTCGGTCTGTTATGACAGTAATCAAAATCATTATAAAATGACAGCAACATCTCACAGCTTCAATTCAGATTAAAACCTGAAAAGACGGGAAAGCACATTACGCATTTTGTTACACTTATATAAATACATGTCTGAAAATTTACCCGCAGGATGTCGGACATACCTGCACCGCTTGTCCCCCTTTGTCTGTCTCGACACCGCCGATTCCACCCTGAAAACCTTCCCACTGTTTGGGAAGGCAGCAGTTCTTCGCTGTCCGTAGCTGGGCCAAGGCCCGGGGGTAGTACAGCACTACGGCTAGGGTACAGATGAGGGCGAGGCGAGACACCATGATGTTTTCGTCTGCTGGTTACCGATCGAATGAAGGAAGGGTTCTCCTGTCATGTGCTTATTGAGTTAACGTCACGCGCTGAAGGGGAAGGGCGTTTTCGGTTAGATGGTTGGATTCAGATAATCCGAGCATGTGTTGGTTGAATATTTTTTTATCGTTAGATTGAAATTATGATACATATTTGACTGTCCGTGCTTATTATTGCAGCCGCTGCCAAGTTGAATTGGATGAAACTAAGCCCTGATGTACGATGCCGACTTGGACAGTGTGGCACTTGTTGGGGTAACTATTGATGCTTGAAATCTAACCGAACAAACACCGAGTCACGAGTTCACCCGTCAGAGCTACGAATAGGGACCCTCGCAAAAGGACGGGGTACGACTTCAACCCGGCAGTCCGCCATGAGACAAATCTGAGCATGAAACGAGACTGAGTTACTACGTGCAAAAACTGAGACAATGTTCATACGCAATACGTATACCGAAAGTTGTGTGCTAATTGAGTTTTTGTACCTACTGGTTTTGGTTCAATTTCAATTTGTTTTTACAGAATGTGCGGCCTCCGGCCCATGTACAGATGATACAACCAGCAGGTTGGAACTTGCATGTTACAAACTTTGACGTTTAAGACGTAGTGCATAGTGAACATAAAGTTGTAGCTGTTAGTAATAACGTTTGTATCATGAGTTGACATTAGGTTGACGAAACCAGTTTTTATATATCCCGGTATCAGGGGTTTTCGACGATGTACGACAAAAACGTAATTTTTATCTGTAATATCATTTGAAGTTTTAATTTTACTAACCTTGGGTGATTAAGGATATATTCATCTATTTCACACAAAAATATCAAGTGTTTCCTACAAAAATAAGGTTGATGACATCGTATCTGCGAAACTGTTGCCGTTCGCCACATCCGTGGATTTTGTATGGGTTTTCGACGATGAGCCATACTTTTCGCTCCGCACTGCGAGGGAGTGTTGTGATAACGTGGCTTTCTATTTAAATATTGCCTGTCACCAGTCACGAATGATCTTACTGAATTTTCGCTTGCTATTTTTTGTTATAAAGGCAATTGATTTTGCATCTGGAGTGGTATTAATGATCTCGGGTAAATAATATTGATGTTTGTTTGCTTTTTAAACAACTTAACTTCCGGTTTTCAATTGTCAATACAACTTCTCACGACAGTGACTGGGCATCCGCCCTGCCTATGAAATTGCTTGTGCTCACCGATCGCGCACGTACTCCCCCCGATATAGCGGCAGCAACGCAATCATCGAGAACACCCGAACGTCGAATTCAGCTCGCTTTGGGATATAGGATGTACAGACAAACATATATACATACATGCTAACATTTGTATAGCGCTGATATCCAGCTCAGCTCAGCTGCTCAAAGGCGCTATGTTTTTCCCTCTTTCACTGGATGTCAATCTCAACGGCACTTCGTATTGTTAATCTCAACTCCCTGGGGATCATACAACTCTTGCAGCCACGAGGCGCACCGAGTTATTGTGGCATTCCCATCCTTACGAGGTACCCATTCACAGCTGGGTGGACTTGGACACATAGTCACAGTACTTTGTCCAAGTTTACTGCACGTTGCTGCAACTAGGTGTTTGCACGTATTCCTGTGGCCACCATCTGGTCATATACCAACGGGTTCGTTTAAGTGTACAGGGTTGTGTACTGTACACTAGGGGTTGTGACAACACTGAAAGAGTCTGCACACAAAGTTGACTCCAAGGTTTTTACACCCGGTCACAGGTGGGCTCGATCCCGTCACCTCAAGCTCGCTGGATCACTAGCCTGGCGCTTTAGCCAGTTCGCCCACCGCACCCCCAAACAGTAGGTATTTAGATCTTAAAGGTCACATGCAACCGAAAAATCAAACATATTTAAAACACAGTTATCACTTATTCATGACATATAATATACATTGCTGGTTATGAAAAAAACATATAAACAAAATTATAAGCGTACAATAGCAAATCAAAAGTGCAATATTGTGTACTTGGGTTTACTTCCCAAGAAACGAAGCAGCCGGATACCGAACCCAGTCAGAGCGGGTGGGTGTGCACTCAAGTGTAACGGCTGGTTCATTTGCAGATGCCCTCACAGCTCATTGTGTGTTTATATATAAGGAGGTTGGGTTTTGTAAATACATGCTCATTTTTTGTGTATAACATTTTGCAATCAACAGACATCATAACATGTCATGTGTTCAAGTATCACACCTGCCTGTCTGTGTAATTGCATAATGTGACAGAGACCGAACTCGGGCCATAAATCAATGCATTTTGTTTATGGTGTATAGCCTGATTGGTGTTAAGTTCAAATTGCATGTGGTCAGTGATAACAGCTGTGTATTGAATATTGTCATCAGCAGACAGGCAGGCAGACACACAGGTGTCTATAAAACAAGACATTGAGTTTTGTCTGAGACAACGACATATCTATATCACAGTTAGAAATTCTGTCAACGCTAAATAATGACATTGCTTTTAAGTATCGAACTGAGAAAGTGACTCGGTAAGAAGAACGTGTGGTGAAATAGACAAATGAAATCATATAAACAGTTAATTTACTGTCATAACATATAAAAAGCTCGCACCTGTGAGATATCAACAAAACATTAGAAAAATAGCTCACACCAAAGCCTTCACCGAGTATTCACCGGACAACCCGCTTCCAAGCTGCGCGAACCTATTTCACTGCGCACGTGCTATGAGCGCAGCCCAGCTGTTGAAACCAGTTTTCCCCCGAAAAGTCGGGGGAAAATTAGTGAATCGTTTGAACTCCGATTTCGCGCGGTTTTTTTTCATAGCGTTATTTTTCAACTTTATAAGCTGAATTTGCATTTTTGACGATTTGTTTCGGTAAGTCCATACCGAAAGGTATCAGAATCTGCAAAGTTGTGTTTTACGTTGCATGTGACCTTTAAGCAACGTCTCACAGATATCTATATTCAGAAATAGAGATCTGACTTAGAGTTAAATGGTAAATTATTTCTTTACAAAAATTTAAAAGAATTATTTTGTTTTGAATTGTATTTGGATCTAGTTAGAAATCCTAGTGATAGGAAAATAATCACGCAAATGCGAACATCTACTCATTGCATTATGATAGAAATTGGTAGATACAGTAATATTCCAGGGGAAGATTGTATTTGTGATTATTGCAATAGCCAGGGTAAAATCTTTGTTGAAGATGAGTATCATTGTATTTGATTTGCCCTAAATATTCACAGTTTAGAAAGTTATATATTAAAAACTTCTATTGGGTTAGACCAAGTTTATGTCACCGTTTAGATATTCCAATAAATCTGCCTTGCGAAACTTAGCTAAATGCATTAAACTTTCTAATGAAGTAAGAACTCAAACACAATACATTGTCCAGCCTCCATAAATTGACCGTAAATATATCCTATGTCCTTTACATGCCTGTACACAATATAATACATGGGGACTCTCTTTTACCGGTTACGGTAATCCATTAATTAAGTAATCTATTGGAAATGTGGCCTTACCGGCCACAGCCATGTAATTGAAATGTGGCTTTCCCGGCAATAGTCATTTTTGAAATGTGGCTTTCCCGGCCTGTCACCATATAAACTATGAATCGGTGGGGTTCTGACGGCTCTAAGGCAAAGCCCTTGGTTGTGGATTGAATCTAATCGTTTTAATTGCTTTTACAAGCCCCATCATGAATAATGGAGCCGTAATTCAATTCAGAACGGGTTGTTGGTTAGTTGTTTAACGCCGTTCTGTGTAACTGGAGGAGGGTTTTCCAACCCCCACCTACTCACTAAAACTAATATAAAAGACATCCGACCCGTTGATTGAATTGTTTAAAACTTTCGGCAAACTGTTCATCTTTATACTGAATAAAGTGACAGACAAAATACTGCCTTGTGGGACACCCTGATCCATACCTGTCAACTCTCACGCATTTGGCGTGAGTCTCACGCTTTATTGACAAATGTCACGCTCTCACGCCTCCAAATAATAATCTCACGCATATCTGGTAGCCAAAATAATTTCAAAATTAATACGCATTTTCGTTCGTTTTTGCGTAAAGTTGAACATTGAAAGAACGCCTGAATGAACGAAGTACTAAAACGATGTTTATGCGAATGATTCGGCTTATTATTATTTATTAGCATGCATCTTTTAGTGTCAAAATAATACCACCAGAAGGCTCCAAATGCCCTGGAAATCACTAAACTTCATTTTCGGGGCTTTGCCTGTCATGTAAACAATTGGATATACAAATTGATGCAAACCGCCTCGCAGTCCAAAATCGTGTAAATCGTTCAAAATTCCGTATTTCCACGTTCTGTCGTATGCTTTTTCTAAATAAAAAACCGATAGACACTGCCTGTTAATTTGTGATAATGACATTTTTTTACAAATGATTCCAACTGCACTATAAATGATCAGTGGTTCACCACATTGTATGTCAGTATTGTTCGTTTCCACGTGCCAAACTCATCGATTATTGATCATGATTTCCATGGTCTTGCAAACGCAGCTTATTACAGTGTAAGTGGTCTTGAAAAATACGCGGCCTTAGAATGCCCCACCAAATATGCGCACATAATCAAACATATTTGTATCTTTTTGTTTCAGAACATTGTTCACTTCACTACCCGTCCCTATTCTTAACCATGACGTTGCAATATTGTTGTACAAATGTATTACACCGACTCCCTCGGCTGTGTTCCCATGACGACAGTGATCAGACTGGCCTCACATATGTAAGGCTTCAGTGCTGTGTTTGTTTACATCACAGATATAAACAAATTCATTTCATGGGGCGTTTTAGGTGACGCTCTCGGTGAAATGGTCGCTCTTCTTCTTCACATAGAATATGAAAGCCACCATTTTGGTTTCTCTACGAATGAATTTAGCGATCCTAAATTGGCCATGAACAACTTAGACTTTGGATCTTAACTTTACGATTGACTTGGTTAAGATTGGTTAGTGGAACGGTATGCCGATCTTAACGTCACGCTAAGATTGGGATCTTAGGGGTTTACGATTGACGTAGGGCTAAGATCGGTTAGTGGAACTGCACCAAGCAGGT